GTTGCGAGCTATAATAATATTGCATGAGTCGAATGTAGCGATTGTAATATAATCTTGTATCCCCCCAAAAGCCATCCAATGTTATTATTTTATTAATTATTTTAGGTTAACTTATTGAGTTAACAAATTTCTTGTCACTGTCTTGTAAAAGTCAGCGACCGCTTCCTCAGTACTTTAACGATAACTTAGAAAAATATCCGATAGAGAAAGCTTTCCAGCTTCGCAAAAACTGTCAGTAACTGCTCGGGCAGATACATGTATTCTCACAGAATATTTACTTATGTTATCTTGAGTGCTCTCCAGGTATTTTTAGCATCTTTTACAGTTCTCAAATTGCGTCAAATTCTTCGCTAACTGAATTGATTCACGCGCCACTCAAAGCCTCCATTTTTGTTTACAAAACTGTAGGCCTACCGAATGCGCGTGTGCGACCACTATCCTCTGTTGACTGTTCAACAACCGTGAGTTTCTATAGCACTCTTGATTGAGAGGAAATCAGCGAAATTGGTTAAAATGCCCGGATATTGTTGTCACCCGGGTACTTTTACTGACATAATATTGCAGTCATTCGGGTACTTTTTTACGAAAGCATACGATACGCTGATTTATTTTTACCACTAGAAGCCTGATATAAATAATAATGTTGTGTACTTGGGGTCCGAGACCTGTGGAACTTTGGGCTGTTAATGTTTTTGATGTAAAAAAAAATCCACAGCAAATGTTTCGGGGTATAAATGTATTCAACTATTGCAACTGTGAAGCGCACACGAGGCTTTTGCATTCGTGATGAGTACGACACAGCCCTTAGGCTATAGTCCAAACCTGAGTAAGCTTGTAAAAATGTTCTTACAAATCCTCAGAGGAAGAGCGAAACCTAATATGTAGTAAACTGTTCCTATTTGCTTGATTCCTATAAAGCACAATTACGTACATAGGCCTATACCCTGAATATTTGTTGCCATAATGAGATTGCCAGAATGAGATTCTTAATGTCACTGAGCCTTAATTAAGTCCTCAAATTGTGCAGGAATTATGTAAGATCTGTCAAGGCTGCATGCCGCTGCTTTACCGTTATCGATCCAGTGGTAAATGCTGATGATTATCCGCACGCCTTTATTTCCTTCCATCCTGCTCTGTGTCAATAATGAAGCATACGTGTCGAGAGCCTCCTGTAATGCTGAAATTGAATGCTCCAGTAAAGTACAGTGAACAAGTGAATGGGGAGAACTGAAAGCAAGTGGCTGAACAGAGTGTACATGAAAATGTGTGGGATTTGCATCGAATCGGATATAGGATTGAGTGTGTGAAGTAAAGTCTAAATGATTCGATTGAATTTGACCCAGAACAATTGTATCTATCTGCAACCATGCAGAACTGAAGGTTTTCAAAAGCAAAATTTCAACAAACTGAATTGAATTTGCGTCCCCCGTGCTGTACAATATATTTTCTATTAACAAATTCGTCAACGTTTTCACGAACTGACACTTACGCACTAGTGGATGTCAGAATTTTTGATTTTCGATTTCACAAACTGACACACAAGCATGTTGCAGCAATATGATTCGGAGCAAAATGTTTGGAAGATTTGGGTCGGGTAGGGTCGGTTTGTCCATCATTCCAGTCGGGTCGGGTCGGTTTTGCGTTTGCGATTTTCGGGTCGGGTTGGTTAAGCCATTTTGGAAAAACCTGAAATAAACCAAAATGAACCGAAACAGAAAGGAAGTTCACACGTTGCACTATTAAGTGCAGAGTCACTGCGCGCGGTGCGACTAAAAATGGTTTGGGTCTGTCTCGATCGGTCTATAACATGTAGGCCCATCAGTAGGTCACGTTGTGAGTGCTGCACGGTATGATTCAGTTACTGAAAGCCAACATTTTTTTACGCGAAGCAGGTCAGTTCAGGCGCAAAAACGAACACATTTGCCGATGCCAGATACTCGGTTTTTTTTTCGGGTCGGGTCGGTTTTGGGTCGGTTTGGGTCAGTCTTTGAATTGTTGTCGGGTTGGGTCAGGTTGGTTTTAGGTAGTCCATTCGGTTTTGGTTCGCATTCTGTTTGTAAAATAAATGTCTCGGTTTGGCCTCGTCAACCCGACCCAATGCAGATCACTATAGGGCGCGACTGAGTGTCAGTACGTGGTGTCGGTGACGAATTTTCAACTTGTTTGTTTTACTCCAAGCAAAAACCTGGTTTTTGGGTTTGGGCACAAACAGATCTGCTTTGCGAGCAGACTGGCTCCCGGTCCGTACATTATCGATACTGGTTGTAGGGCAGGAACCATGCCTACCCTGACAGAACGGAATTATTGTCTAAGGCAGCCAGTAAATTAAAAATTATAAAGTAATCATTCAAATAATAATTCAATAATGTCTCATTCAAACGTAAACAACGTTGATATAAAAATAGCAATTTAGAAAAGGAATCTATTTTTTGGATGAAACTCGAGCATGGGAAATACATCTTTAAAGGCAATATACAGCATATTACAAACATAAAAAACCAAATTATTATGAAATGACTTACTTGACTGTAAGTGAATAATAGTCTCAAGCATCCTGTGAAATCATGGCACCTGGTGTGCTGCGGTTTTCAAGAAAAGTAGATTTTTCTGTCAATTTCAAACGATGGTCAGCTGACCATCGTTGGAAAAAATACTGACTTTTTTTCAATTACTGCTCCCAGTTTACCAAATTAACAACAAATGTAGTTACTCTACAGTTTGTTAGCAATCAGGTACATATCCGTGAACGTGTGCAAGCCAACTAGTCTGGGTCCCTGACCTGACAACTCCCCGACGTCTATAAATTGCTCCCTTTCGTCTGCAGTAGGGTCAGGGAACCAGACTACAAGAACAGCATTTTTTCCTTTGCATCTAAACTTTAAATAGGTCAGTGTAACAATATTTGCTATAAAATATCAATCCCAAAATCCATCCGTTTCTCAAAATTACAGCAAAAGCAAATGTTGTGTATTTGTTTTACCTTTAAGTCTGACTTGAAAAATTAAATGTCTGTATTCATCACATAAGATGTATTGGAATTCAGATACGTCCCACGGTAAAAAGCAAATGCAAATTTAATGGCCCATTTCAGTTTCGTTGTGCATGCACATACATGATTCATGTTTGCCCTTGACAGAAGAATAATTTTACATTAGGGCCTGGGGACAGTAACTCACATCAGTGTCGCTTCATGTATGCTTCATGTATCTATACATAAAACATGTCAAAACAGTATTGTATAGAAACTACTGTTGATTTGGTCCCTACAGGCAACATCCAAGGGCATCATTAGTTGTGCTTTCAATTCAACTGCGTTCATTCAACCGTAGATGCCCGTAAAAATATGTTTGTACTACAGTACGTGTTTTACATTGGTGATTGGTGTTATGGATGCAGTATTTCTAAAGCTAGTTTCCCACTGAATCAAAACTACTTTCATATTGAAGGTTTCACCTTGACAAATACTCGTATTGGTATATGCAGTGTCTGGAAATATTCATCACAGCTTTTATAAATGTCTAAATCTTTCATTCATCACCACACTTCTTTCAACAGATTTATGGATGCAGTATTTCCAAAGCTAGATTCCCGCTGAATAAAAACTACTTTCATATTGAAGGTTTCACCTTGACAATTACTCGTATTGGAATATGCAGTGTCTGAAAATAGTAATCAAAGCTTTTATAATATCTAAATCATTCATCCGTCACCACACTTCTTTCAACATATACAGCCAGCCAAACATGAGTCGTTTTCATGTGGGAAAGGGTAAAAAAAACTACAAAATTAATAGCTCCAGATTTGGCCTAGCGTACCCATCTGTGCAACTCTGGCTTAGTGTTTAAATCGGGAAACTTCAATCCATGTATATTGGATTATGGCTGACTTGATTAAATGTGTCGGCCAAGTCATGTTGTGTGCTAATAAACTTTGCACACCCGTGTTCATGGATCATCAGCATGCATGCGTTGCACGCATGACAACCCATATGGGGATTTGCGTGCTCACTTAACGCATATTACAGGTTTGCAGCGGGCTGCGCGAGTCTGTGACCTGCACTACTATATAAAATGCAATATTTATTGCCCGGGGTGGCGATCGCATCTGAAAAGGGATCCTGCACGAGTTGCCACGCGGCGCAAACTGCAGCAAGATCATAAGGGAAAAAATATCCGTGTTTGTTATGGCCGTCTGATTCGATCGGACGGAGAAGTCAACTTGCAGTATTTAAACTTCAATGCCAAGAAATCCTTTTGCAACATGCCTATTGATGTGCATGATGATTAAAATGCGAAAAGTTACGCTCCGGCCCGAGGATCTGTCCTTGTCGAGTCTGAAATATTCAGCACTCATTCAATAAACATCTGTCTTTTATAACTAGACGCTATGTGTAAGTGGTGTACCCAATTTATTAATAATTGTAAGCGATGTCCATGAATGTAACTATATTTTATGTAGCACGTACATTTGCAATCATTATTTATGCAAAGATTGTGAAGCATGAACGAAGCCTTTTTCTGCAAAGTTAATTATTTCCTTCTAGTTACTGAGTCATTAAAGAACTCGGATTTTCTAGCAAAGTAGTCCACCGTTATCTTAAATTTTTACTTGTATACTGCCTGTTTTTTCCTATGGTATTGTGTGCTGCTCTCACAAGCATGTTTGCACCATCCCTTCATAATATCTACGGAAAAAATACCCACAAAATGTCTGCTAAAGACTGGATTTAACTTTATTCATATTTGTCAAATAAAGCTAAATAATACCCATAATAGTCAAATGTCTTCTTGCACCTGTTTAGGTTTAGAGCATGAATGGAAAAATATCCAACACCAAAATGAATCATAAGAACCAGTTTGTACAGGAGGAAAAGGGACGTTTGTCTCTCAATTTTTGCACCTTGCCTGCTTTTACTTTGTTCTTCAATTGTTTGACTTTCAGGATTTGTTGCTAATTAATACATTGTAATTGTAAATCTTACTTTTGTGTTTGCTTTTCAGGGGTGCCACATCGGTCGTTCTGAGATGTACACAAGTTGGAACAGACAAAGCACATGCAGTCAAAGTCATCAAGAAAACGGTAAGATATAACACTCTCAGTGTACATGTGTAAGCACTTTATTTGGCTCCTAGTTTAAGCATGCTTTGGAAAGGACAAAAAACATTTTGAGTGGTTTTTTTGTTCCTTTCTATTTTCCTTTCCTCTTTTGGGGGAGGAGATGTGGGTCGGATGCCGGAACTGGGGATTTGCTCACTTCTTATTTATAGTTCACAGCTACATGTATGTATAATGCTGGGAACCTTATTTTTTATGCCACCTTGTTTTTCTTATACAAAGTGGTGGCATAGCAATTTTCTATTCAAGTGCCCCTTTTTCATCAGTGTTTACCCATAAATATTTGTAGAGAGTGCCCTTAATTTTTTTTTTAAACAAGTGCCCTTTTAAAAAAAAAAAACAAGATCCCTTTTAAAAAAACAAGTGCCCTTTTTTTTTTACCAGCGGCCTTGTACAAGTGACCCATTCAGCAATTGTGCTGCCCTGAAAAGCACCACTTATTGTACGATCGCGTCCTTGATCGTACATTTGAACAGTGCTATTGCCCCCATTTGAAGATGGTACCAGCCCCCCCCCCCCCCCCCCCCCACTTTTTAGTTTTTACGGAAGCAAAGTATCTGGAGAAAAACTCCTGTCTACATTCCAGCACGGATGTGCTAGTGCCCTTTTCACTAACTTTTATCCTCCCCCCAATAAAAATGACCTTGCTATGTCTCTGCAAAGACACCATTATTTGAGTAACACAGAAACACTGAATGCAAAGTAGTTCATTGCAAAGCTAGCAAGTGGCATTAGATCAGATTCTTGAACGAGTGAGGTGCTGTGACGACGTCATTTTGTGGGTATAGAGTGATGCGTGTCCAAGGTTATGGACGTACATTGTAAGCTTACATGGTAGTACAATTTAAAACTTACTTTTCCACAATATTCAATTTTAAATTTAAAGGGAATGTACATCATTGGCTTTTGCTGTAATTTTCAGAAATGAAATATTTGAGGGGTTAGTATAATGTATCAAATAAAGTTACACTGACATGTTTGAAGTTTTGTGTTCGAAAATGCTGGAAAAACCAAGAAAAATTTCAAGCAGTCTGGTTCCCTGACTCCGCTAAAGATGAAATGGATCAATTTATGGATGCCGGAAAATTGTGCCATTATTTTACAGGATGCTTTAGACTGTCATTTACCAACGTCCTAGTAAAGGTATTTCGTAAAAAATTGGTAGTTTTGTTTTTCGATGTTTGCAAATGTTGTATATTCCCTTTAAGTAAAACTACCAAACTAATTTAATGAACAAGATTTCCCTAGAGTTTGACACTCGCTTAAAAAAAATATCTTTATTGTGTATTCAAATCTTGCGCAATCAACTCTGGAGGCAGATTCTGTATACATGTAGGCCTATGCATTCACATCAACAGAAAAGTTGAAAAAGAGATTAAAAAAACCCAGCATGTTGTGAAGTGTTTGCCCTTCGATAGATTTCAGTTGTTTGTTCTATCAAACTAAATGATTCATGATATAAAATCGCTCTGCATGTATCAAAGTCTAATGGTGAAGATAAAGTGGCGAAAGTAGGGGGGAAAATAGTTCAATGTTAGCAATTTTGAGATCATTTGCAGAGGAGAACTAAACGTCAGCAATTTTTGGCTTCTGTGATGTCAAACAAATAATGACAAATACGCGCCCCTTCCGATTTCATGGGATCATTAAGAATAAAAAGGGCAAACTGATATCGTAACTTTGTGTCAACAGTTTGCTGGATTTAAAATAAGTGGATGAAAAAGAAAAAGAATCGGGAAAAGATCCTTGTTTGGAACAAACGAAAAACCTTCAAGGAAAAATACCCAAACCTCCAAACTTTAGAAAGGAGAAAAAAACCTTGGGATACAAAGCACCAAATTTGAGCTCGAGAAGGTGTCCTTGGTATCAAGGGAAACATTGGAAAGAAAGAATCAGACAAATTGTTGGTGTTTTGTGGCCGATCACAAAGTACAGGTAGGTGCTTGTACCGGTAGTTATGGTTAGAACATGACGTTTTCCAGTTTGGACACGCATCAAATTAAACTCATTTCATCATCTTTCATTTTCAGTTCAATGTTTTTTTGGAGTGGGGGGAATTCGATGACTTTTGGGAGAAATTTCCTTCCGAAGATGATCACCCCGAAAAATAGTCCTGAAGCCCATAGCCATTTTGAAAAACGGTGCCTACACGCCGTTGCAAAATACAGCACTATTAGGGCCCAATTTCATCCAAATTTCACAGAAATACAAGTTCGCAGTCCTGTGCATGGCTTCCACTCTTCTTTTTTACAAACCCTCAAGTTCATGGCCCACAAAATGCTCTAATACCAAAGAATTTGAGGGCATGCAATTCGTGATTTGGCCGGTGTAGGCAAGTTCGGGCCTATATTTTTTGGCCTGGACCCTTTAGGGGTTTATGGCGACTTTGAACCAAACTACATTGTGGTACATGTAAAAGAACTTTTAGTGCATGTGCGTGTAGTGTGTTTGATTATAATTTTGGGGATCATAAAACATACGTGTTTGATCCCAACACATTTAGGCTTATGTTAACTATGGGACCAGGAATTGTTTGTTTGAATCCCAACTATTTAGTGGTGTGATTTTAGTCTGTACAGTTCCTTTTCCAACAGAAAGAAATTCAGACAATAGGAGAAGATTTTATTGAAGTATATAGTATACAGTTTTAGTGTGTACATGTAGTCATTGATCAGGGGACCAAAATAATTTAAAACATGTCTTTCGTTGAGAAATGAACATAATGACACTATTCAACATGCCATATTTCTTGGCAGACATGCCTGTAAAAATCACAGGAATTTTGTAGCTAGGTCTATATAAACTTGACCCTTCAAGTGGCAGAAAAACACACAAGCAAAGTTCAAATCCGACGGTCTATTTTAAGAATTTCATTGCCCTAATAAAGCCGAATTATTTCACTTTGTGTATAGATGACGACATCAAAATAATAAATTGAGTTCTGGTGATTCACATTTTTAGAAGAATGATTCTTTTGATTTCTACATTGACGTCATTTGAAATTACAAGTTTCATCAGTACAATACTTTGAAAAGATAATTACGTGTATTTTCATTTTCTTTTTGTGAATTCAGATTCACATAAGGTATTAGTCCTCAGTGGCATGTTCTAGGAATAGTACATGTACGTATATCTGTTAAATTCAACATCCGTCGGCTTTGTCCGTGAGATGCAATTTTGCAGTCAAGTACAAAGGAAACATATTGAATCCTTGAGAGTTGATACTTTACATTCCGCTAAAGAGCCTGAATCAATTCTTAATTAGGTACTGATGTTGGTTCAAAGTGGGCTGGGAAATATGCATATTCAGTGGTTGCTATGGCCGGACCTCCATAATTTTCTCGAACTTTTGTCTACTACATTGTATATTTGCCTCAACTTTTGAGTATAAAATCATTCCGTCAAAATTTAAAGTTGCGTTCCCCGTGCTATTTTTGAGTTTCATCTAAAAAAGTAGATTCCTTTTCCAAACTGCTATTTTTCTAGCAATGAAAAAGTTATACACTTTTGAATGAGACATCGACCGACGAAAATCGGCCCATGTTTAGTTATTGAATTATTACTTTATAATTCCGAATTATTGGCTGCCAGACAATAATTCCATTCTCATGGTGTAGGCTGGTTCCTGCTCCACAATTACTAACGATCATGTAATAATAATAATAATAATGCATTCTTATATAGCGCATTACATCAGAAGAAAAATCTCAATGCGCTTTACAAAATTAATCGCATAAAAAAAGTCATAATAGTGCATTAAAAGCTCGTTAAAAATTTACGGTGGATCAGAAACATTGATTAAAACACACAGTAAGACTCATTAGAAATACATTTAAAATCACAATCACTGGAAAATTACTTAAAAACCTGACGGAAATAATATGTTTTAGTGCTGACTTAAAAGATAAAAAAGAAGGTTCATTTTGAATAAAATAAGGTAGTCTATTCCATACACTGGGTGCTGATACTGAGAAGGCACGCCTGCCATAATGATCTTGATTAAAACGGGGCTGAACTAAGCGTGTTTCGGTGGAGGAGCGAGTGGCTATTGAACTTTCTCGAAAGTCTGTCAATAAATCCAATGGACCGGGAGCCAGTCTGCTTGCCAACCATACATGTATCTGTTTGTGCAAAAAACACAACCTTTTGTTCATAGGGTCACAGACGTTTAAAAAAAAAAAAAAAGGAAGAAAGTAGTTTTTTGGTAGGAATTTAAAAAAAATACAAGTTTAAACTTGAAAATTTATTAATAGAAAGAAAATTGAATTTGTTGAAGAGTACACGGGGAATGCAACTTTTAGGTTGCTTTTAAAACTAAATTAACGCGAAGTTTAAATCCTGTTTTGCAATTTTATCGTATTCATAAAGCACAGTGAGAAGCAATAGAGCGTGCAAAGTTGACCTAAAAAAACCTTGTGAGATTTTATGGGAATATACAGTATATTTACATGTATGTATCCTGGCACCATGTATATCTACTACATGTATGTGTGTAGCGTCCTTTTTGTTGCATATATATTTTGTGTCCTCAATGGGCTTTTCCAGTCAAGGGCAATAAACTGGGTCTGTGAAAGAAAAGAAATCATTACAATTTACAATACATGTAGGAAAATATTGCAAATTCATGACTTTAACAAAATGAACAAATTTGACCTCGTGCGGATAACAATTGGGAAAATTATAACTGTAACTATTATAGACGGTGTTTGGTACCAAGACTTTAATATATGAAAGGTGGACATAAACTGGCGAGAGTGGCATGCTATATTAAGAAAGTGCAGGCCAGAAAATTGGAATGTTCTGAAAATACGGTAGTTTGATTAATTGGCTTGCAGACCCATATACATGTATAGGGCTACACACCCACTTGATCCGTAGTTGTGGGGACTACACACGAATTTTCCCATGGTACTATGGGGACCGAAGACACTGTTGAGACAGCAGAAAGTCCCCATAACTCGGTCCTAATTTGCCTAACAATAAAAAACTCCCCCATAACAGGTGACGGACCATTCATACAAGTACATTAGAAGCTCAAAGAAGTGTGCTAATTGTGTAACAATAAAAAACTCCCCCATAACATGGTGACGGCCTGTCCATGTACATTAGAAGGTATAGCTCAAAGAAATGTGCAAGTACATTTCTTTTTTCTTGCGTGGCATCTTTGCATAATATGTGTACATCGCTAGGGTCATGCTGCCCTGTTTAGGTTGTGCATCCTGTCATCTGCTCTTCTACAAGATCAAACACCTCAACTTTCATCTTCAGAATTGATTATTTTCTTTCTGCCCCACCCCAACCGTCCTTGGATAACTGTATTTAGAGTGGCTTTTAGAATTGTAAAAAGTGGGCAAAGTTAGCCTTTCACCACAGGAAAAATTTACGATTGTTTTGGTTTCAGCGACTACAAAACAGAATTTCCTGAGCGGCTTTTGAATTTACATCCTTAAATCCGAAACTGTTGAAAATGGTTAATTTCTATGAATATTGGTGTGGATAATTTATTTAACTTTGAATTGAATTGAATTTGTTTTCATTCAATAGGTTGACCAGAAGGTCGTTAAAACAGAGACTGACATTCTTCTTAAACTTCAGCACCCAAACATTGTAAGTATTAAACCTAATCTGTAAATTTCATTATATCATATACATACATTTCTTGTAGCTAAACTAGGTGTAAATCAAAGTATTTATTCTTCTTCCTCTTCCAAAAGTAAATATTTAATGCTAAAAGGTATAATTTGTGAATTCAAATCCTTCTTCAGTTAAGTGCGTCCTTACAGAGTGTAAAATTTTGCTTTAAACAAAAATTCACCTCTTTATCAATATCATGTGCAATCAAAGCTTTCACACTTGTAATCTGAGAGGAGACAGTGGGAGCAGTGGCCGGAACACAGAATTGAAAGTCCCAGTAGGAAGATGTTGGGGTTGCAGTGCAGAAAACTGAAGAGCCCTGGTCACGGTAATGAAGCTTAGAGTCTCCGACGTTGATAATCTGAAGGGTAGTGTGTTTGATTACCGGCTGTCGACCAGGCAGGAGTAGCCTTGTAAATTGAATTGGGGGGCAAATGTTATCAGTAAATTTCTCCATACAAGCATGATGAACACTGTGTTCTAATGTATTGTAGGGGGGGGGGGAGCAGCCATTGTAAATGCTGTAATTAATCACCCTCCTCCTAGAAAAATGTTTGAAATATTTAAGGTGCTGTGAAGCAATGCCATATTTCGCGTAATTGATTGTAAGTATATTGTGCAGCTGCGCGAAAAAATTGTTGCGTAAATACATGAACGCATCGCATAATGTTGCCACTGTTGCGTGACATCAGCTGTGGGATGGTACAGCTAGTATAGAGCCCATGCAGTCAATATTACTTCATGTACATACATGCAGGGTTGACGACCCAGCTTTCGTTTAAAGCAGGAATGACATTTTTTTTTCAGTCTAGACTGAAATCAGACTTTTCGAATCTGAGAGAAAGACATTATCAGTATAGAGAAAGAAGTGTATCTTTCAGACTTTTCATCAAATTTTCAAATTGTTTTTAAAATTGACAATATCATCCCTGTTAACATATTATCACAGTAGTGCCCGAAACCACACTGCCTATAACTCTCTGTACCACCCAGAGCACTCTATGATTTTATGTATTAGTCAGTCAATAAACACAATGTAATACAATGTAGTACAGTTGCTAACGAGTTCAGTGTGAAGAAAGTGCTATTGGGTTAATACTGCTCAGTATGTTGGAGTATTCAGGAATTAAGCTTCTCTGGAAAAAGTCCCAAGGAGCTAGATGAAGGTTTAAGGTATTTCACGGTAATATGCGCCATCTTGTTGACGGGGCAATTTTACACGCATTGCTGTGTACGCATCGTCAGTCAAAAACTTTGGTGCTTTCAAGTCATCATGTGGTCATTCCAAAATGCGCCTGCGTCTAGCAACGCGTGTTCTTTTTGCCCTGTGAACAAGATGGCGCATATTACCGTGAAGCACCTTTTTCATAAGATGGCATTTGCGTTGGGGTGATGTAAATTCAGTATTATGTTTTTCCCTTCACTGACGTATTTTTATAAACACTGTATACTCAGTGTTGTCCTGAGTGATTGTGAGAAAAAAATCCACAAACTACTCGGGTAGGACTCGAACCTATGACCTCCTGCTTACTAGTGCAGACGTCTTACCACTCAACCACTAAGCTTGCCGGGGCTGGCTGGTTCGAATCTGATATAGCAGCGGGTACCGCGGGGACAACACTGAGTTTTATTAACAGTGTTTATAAAATACATCTGTAAAGAGCAATAAGGCCACCAAAAAAAATAGTTCTGCTTCCGGTTTCCCTACCTACCCTATTCTGAAAGCCCCTACCCTAATTTTTTTATTGGAAAAAATGAGAAAATAACACTCAAAACCATCAATTTCTTCCTTTTACCCTTGACTACACATAGAAGCCTCCATATGATTATACACACACACACAAAAATTGCAAAAAAAAAAAAAAAAAATCCCTACCTACCTACCCTATTTTCGAATGCCATGTAATCGGAAGCAGAACTATTTTTTTTTTTGGCCTAACCCAATATTGAATTCAGCTCAAGGTTTTTCTAGTAGTGAACTATTATTAATATTGCAGGCTAGAAAGTTACGTATTCACATTTCTTTTCATGTGTAGAATTGTGACTGATTGTGTGTCAGAGAAAATTTGTGTAGTTAGTAGCTCCGTGCATACACAGCAGACAGAGCTTCATGACCACTAGTGAGAGCTCAGTGGAAAGGACCTATTTTGTGCGCACACTGGTTCACTCGCCTGTAGAAACAAAATTCACTTGATTAAGTTTATTCCTAATGAGCGCATTACGCCGAAGACCTGTATTGTCTTCATGTGAGTGCCAGATGACCTGCCACAGTGTGTTTGAATTCTATATCTAAGTCTTTCTTTATGAGTGACTGAGAGGGTACTTGTGCGCAGAGTCCAAAGGGGAGTCACAGAGTGTGGCATCATAAGAAGGGAAAACAAGTGGAAAATCCTGCACTTTACTGGAGAGGAAACTACAGATGTGCACAGCAAATGCATTCAGCTTCAAAGAGGTTGTGGAATGCTCGAAGACATATCCGTCATTTATCGGGTATATGTAGCCTAAGGTGTGATGAAATAAAAACGACTATTGTTTCTGTCATGAAATGAGTACAAAAGGTACTTTTGAGAGCTGTTTTTCAGGTCCAGTTTCGACACGAACGTGCAACTGTGTAAAAGTCGTTTTTGGGCAGCAAACAAAACACAGTAAATCGTGACGTAATAAACAGGACTCCCGATGCACAGTAGCATACACGAGTCCTGTTTATTACGTCACGATTTACTGTGTTTTGTTTGCTGCCCGCAACGACGATTTTTACACAGTTGCACGTTCGGGTCGAAACTGGACCTGAAAAACAGCTCTCAAAAGTACCCTTTGTACTCATTTCATGACAGAAACAATAGTCGTTTTTATTTCATCACACCTTAGGCTACATATACCCGAAAAATGACGGAAATGTCTTCGAGCATTCCACAACCTCTTTAAAGATGCGTTCCCCGTGCTATTTTTGAGTTTCACTTCGAAAAATAGATTCGTTTTGCTATTTTCCTAGAAATGTGAAAGTTACCAACTTTTGAAGGAGACATTGAATAAAGAAATACACCAACGTTTAGTTATTGAATTATCTCTTCACAAAAATCAAATTATTGGCTGCCAGACAATAATTCGGCTCTTGTAGGGCAGGTTCATATGTACAGTTTCAGAGGGTTGTAGCCGCTAACAATCAGATTAAAGTAATTTTTCATTAAAACACAACATACAAATTGAAAAGTTGTTTGGAGAAAAAAAAATCTATATTTTGAAGAGCACGGGGTATGCATCTTTAAGTAGTTTCTCAACTTATTTTCATTTGACAATTGTTTTTTTTCTTCTTATTTTTCTTCCTGTGGACAACCAGATTAGACTCAAAGAGATCTTTGAGACAGATGAGAAGCTGTTCCTGGTCCTAGAGCTGGTGACGGGCGGAGAGTTGTTTGACCGCATCGTGACCCAGGGCTACTACAGCGAGAAAGACGCAGCCAGTGTGGTCAGACAGCTCTGCAGCGCTGTGCAGGTAAGATTTCTGCCTGGGCGGCATGGGTGGGGCAGTGTGTCAAGCGCTCGCCTCTCACCACTGTGGCTCGGGTTAGATTCCTGGCTCGGGTCATAAGTGAGTATGGTTGTTCATTGATTCTCTCCAGTGCCACAAGGGTTTTTCTCTGGGTTCTCCGGTTTCGCAGCATTCGCAAAAATGAACACTTATGGTCTGGCTCCGTGGCAAGACATTAATCAAATGGCGGCTGCCTATTGCTCATAGGCATGCCTTCGGTTTGACCACATTGTAGCTGCGTCCTTCACAATTCGGCTCCTACTGCGAGTAAGGACGATAAGGCCCCCCCCCCCCCCCCCCCCAATTAACATAATACCATTTGGTTTTCCACCGCTGGGTATACTCACTACTGCGTAATATGCTACGTTTTGTTACTAGTTCTTTGGTGCTCATAGGTCCACATGGGTTACATTAAAGAATATGCACTTGTACCTCAGATTTTAATTGCTTGAAAAGTTGACCAGTGGTCTTTGTAAGGGTCACAAATAATTGATCTTTGGTTCACCTATAATGACCATAAAACAGCCTTAGAAGCTACCTTTACATCCTTTGGAAGAAAGGAAGATTTTTTTCTGTTGATTTTAAGATTTAATTTATTTTGAAAGTTATAAAAGCTTAATAATTTTGTTCATCTTCTCACTCCCTTTTCACAGTACCTCCACGAACATGGTATAGTCCACAGAGACTTGAAGCCAGAAAACCTGCTGTACGCCGACAGCACAGAAAATGCAGCCCTCAAGTTGGCCGATTTCGGCCTTGCCAAAATGCTGTACAAAGACGTCCAGATGCAAACAGTGTGTGGGACACCGGGATACTGTGGTAAATATCTAGAGGCTGGGGTTCAAAACGTAGACATTAAAGGTGCTCTACCTCTGCTCTTCATTATATTTGATTGTTTTCCTCTTAAGGTAGAGTAGATCATATGTCATTTGTGCATTTTCTTTCGTTTGAAGAAACAAAAGTGCTCAAAATCTAAAGATTAACCTGATGAAGTTTTAGCTCTGTGAATGCTGCACATTCCGAGAAAACAATATTCTAGGATGTTGCCGAGTCATATTTTGAATTACACGCGCAATCAGTGTCCAGGACACATTCTCATTCAGCCGATTGCAGCTACGCGATGTCATGCACTGAACTGATGAGTAATAGCTACCTCGCTAGCGTGTGCATTGTATAAAGGCTTGCACACACCCATTCACGGATTTGCCGAATTACAAACCAACTACTAAAGGACATTTCCAAAAATGTGTCGTGTGACACGTCTTTGGCAATGGCCGCAAATGATTCTAAACGTGCGCCAATTTTTTTTTGCAATTTATTTGTTTCTTATGTACACTCCATAGTCCCCGATTCTACTTTTCCAATTACACAGAACCTTTAAATGCATTAACATGTAGCAAAGTGCTTTCATCAATTGTATGCACTAACGAGTGTAATAAAGCACAGCCTTACGTGTTAAACTGTCATAAGAGCTTAATGCAGCCTGAGTGTATTTGCCTAATTAATCTCATTAATTTGTGTCTAATGTTTCATGATGTCAGTCAGCTATGGCTAGAAAGGTACAGTCCATGGGCCCACTTCCATGGCTCTGCTAACCACAGAATTCCGCGCTAATACAATCACCATTCTGTTCTAACAGCATTAGCAGAAAAAAGAATTCTGTGCTTTTACCTGTAAGCACAGATTCTAAATTACTGGATGTACACATGTGCATACATCTAAGTCAAAATTCTACACTAAGTTGTGAATAAGTTAACGGTTAGCACGGAATTTTCTGCTACAGTAAGTGGGGATTGTTTGCTAATGTTACAAACGGAGCAATGAATTGGGACCAGCAGCCGATTTCACAAAAAAAGTATGTAGCTTGTGCCTTGCGTAGGACTTGCGCAACAAATTTGTTGCGCAGCTGCGCAGTAAACTTACAATCGATTTCACAAAACTAGCTGCACAGCATTTTAAATAATCTAAACATCTTGGATAAGGATAATAACAGCACTTACCACGGCTGTTACAAATTTGTTCGTTCACGAAACAGTCATTGAATCACCTCGGCCCGACATTTTGAAAATATAGTTTCTTCGGAATTGTACGGCAAGTCTAAAAGTTCTGTCAAAAGTAAAATAGCAATTAATGTACCTGAAACAAAATAAAGCTGTGAGTGTCTTGTATCAACCTTGATAAGTTGTGCAATGACAGGCTCCATGACGATCACGATTTACTTGTAAAATAGGTCATTTTCCGTCGCTACATGTACGTACAACTTACACCACCTAAAATGATTGTGAAAGTTACGCCATAATTTACTGCGCAATTGCGCATAAGTCTTACAGACTTATGCACTATGAGACTTTCGTGAAATGTGTCATAAGTGAAATGTTGCGCAGCGTGAAATGTTGCGCAACTTACGCAATAAATTGTGGCGCAAGCGGAGTTGCACCATTTTGTGTTAGGTTTCGTGAAATCGGCTGCAGGGCATCACAGAATTCCACGCTTACGATCACCATTTTGCGCTAACAGTGCTAGCAGAGAAATTGGGTGCCAACCTTGTAAACACAGAATCCTTAGTTACGGGATGTACGCTTGCACAGAAACCAACACTCCTCGCAAACCCATGAAATACTCACATTCAAAGCATAGAGTTTTCAACTACAGCTGAAGCAAGGTTTTTTTGGCTAACAGTGAGCAGCAGAGCCTTGAAATTGAGTCCAGGTTATCAGGTGATCCTGTGTTTTTCATCACATTGTGTTAGTCTGTGAGATGTCATAGTGTCATTCATACAAATCAGAGAAAAATAATACAGAAACCACACAAGTTTGACAAATTTGTTATATTTCTACTGAAATGAGACATTAAACAAAGTCATCCAGAAAAGTTAAGATATCGAATAAAAAAAGGTTTAACAAATTGGAATGAAATACAACCCTGACTAATTCAACTAAAAATAAAAGCCATTCAGAGGGTTGCTAACACAAAAAGGGTAGTTTTTTAGCTAACATAAAATGTGCTAATTAAAATATCCTTAATAGAAAACAGTTGTCGAAGAGCACAGGTTGAACGTCTTTAACAATGCTTTCACTAGTCATTCAAAATTAATCGGCCCATTACTCAATCGCAGAGAGCAACTCTCGGCTGCACTTCGCAGTGTTTATTCATAACACTTTGTCAAAACACAGGCCACAAAAAAAAGATGGCCATATTCCCTTTAATAGAGCAGAATGTTGACGTTTGGTTTTTTGCCATGCCTGGAAAATTAATTTTCACAGCTCCGGAGGTGCTATTCGGCAAGCCCTACACCCCCAAAGTGGATATGTGGAGCGTAGGGGTCATCACCTACATTCTGCTGTGCGGGTTTGAACCCTTCTATGACGAAAAGGGCGACAGATACGTGTACAAGAAAATCCTGAGGGCAGAATACGAGTTTATGTCGCCGTGGTGGGACAACGTCTCCGATAGCGCAAAGGTAGGAATCGCTCGTGTGACATTTGCAATTTAAAGGTTATTGTATGATGAATATAAAAAGCACCGCAAGTTGGGAAACTCAACAATTTTCTGCAATTAATTATAAAATGTTTCATCACATTTCAACTTGAGAAAAGTCAGAAATTACCAAACACAGCTTGTTTTGATTTTCATGTTAAGTTCATTGACCATGCAAAACTTCTTAAAGGCAAGCATGTGTATGATGTAAAGGTCCTACGTGTCCATGTACATGGGCTGTTCCGTGAGACTGTGGACATGGCTGGAAAATGAAAAATTTATGAAATCTTCAGAACTACAAGCGTCACTACGTCAAATGTGGTATCAAATTAAAGGGAACAACAAGACCTTTCATTCGGCCGGTGATGTCGATTTTAGGTACATGTAGTCACCTTGTTTTTACATGCAAAATGCAAGTGATGTTAGTGAGTTTTTGTTTTTAAGGCAGAGAGAAAGATTCATGTTTTAAGCAAAGAAGATTTTTGTTTGATTTGTAGTTCCTTATATATTTTCACTTACAAGTACCAAAGATGGGCAGACAAACTGTAACGTGAGTTATCGTAATGTGAGTTACCAAAATATATCCCTCTAGAGACGCCTGAGATGGACCCTCCAAATTGGCGCAATTCAGTTTTTTCTTGCGATGGACATTTGAGTTATAATCAAATGTGTATTTCCATGCGTAATCACCTGGTTATTAGACATGAAAAGGTCCACTTCATGGTATAACGACATTCCCATTCCACCAGGCTGGCTACGCCCCTGCAGATTTGCATTTTAAATGCGCCACAGATGTCAATGACCCATTTGATAAAGAAAGCACACTTCAGGAAGTGGCATCAAGTCATTATTCAGATGGGGCTAAGAAGTCATAAAGGAACCGTCTCAGATCAAGTTAACAAACAAAGATTATCCCGGTCAGTAGGTTGCTCAGGATTTTTTTTTTTATGAACATGTACTTTTGCCCACTCCTTTTCAAGAAGTACATGTATAGAAGCAGTGCACTCGATACGCCTGATGTAATATGAGTTTCTCCTTGCGTTATTGTGCAACCCAGTCTGCTTGTTTTGATTACATATGCGTAATCCGCACAAGTATCCACATGATCGACTTTTGTCAGAATCCACGAACTTCGTCTTTGATTTCACCACGTTACATTCCTTGAATATTGAACGACAGTCGAGTCAGAGCTAAAGATAGAGTGTGGAGTATAAGGTGCTGTTAGCGAGAACTTCAACCATTGTTGTTATTATCTGCTTCCGGGGGAAATTCAATTCCAGTCGCTTGAAGATGCCGTCCATCGGCGCATTTACTGCTCTTCAATGAAAGTTGTGTCTCCTGAGAGGTCTTGTTGCCTTGTGCGCAATTCTGAAGAAGATGGAAATACTGTCTCGTTGTGTTGACACTTGATCTGCTATATCCTGGGTTTTTTATGCTTTATGGTGTTCCTTTTTTCCTCAGTCGTTTCTCTGACGTGGTTAATGGGAATGATTTTTTATTAGCCTGAAGGTGTGAGAGGATGGAACTTTTATTTGGGGGGGGGGGGGGTTAACTGTAAAAATGATAAATGTAACTGGGCCATTTCACGGTTTGGTGGACATGGCTAAGGAAAAAAAAGTTTTATTTTTTAACCCAGTTTCACATTTTTATTACAGATTATACATTCAAGTATGAGAAATTAACAAAGAAAACCCAATTTTATCAAACATTTTTTGAGAAATCATGTCGCAAAGTGAACAATATTTTTTTTACTACAAAGAACTAAAAAAATTTGGTAAAGTTTAACATTGGTTGCTATTAATGCAATTAGAGATATTTCTATCATAACCTTATTTCTAGCATGTATGATAGTCTTAATCTCTGAAACATATGTCAATTCACCGCCGTCATCCATTTTCAGATGTCAAAAAGTAGCATTTTATGCCTTTTTTGGTCAATGTAACGTGAGTAACCGATTTTGTGCGCCTTGTTTATCATACATTAACACATTTTTCTGGATGTCATCTTTGGTGCTTAGGTAGGTCTAGGTCTACTCTATCTACTGTGGGGATAACAGTTATTAAACCTTTTCAGTAAGGTAATTACAGCCCACGGAAACTCAAAAGTACATCAAAAAGCTATGACTAGTATAGGGTCACAAATAACAGGGTGGATCCTTACTGCGGGGGGGGGGGGGGGGGGGGAGGAGGGGGGGTGCCAGGGGTGTAGAAGGGCGCTCTAAAGTGAAAAATGGCCTTATTTGAGAACATTTTGGTTACTGCTGGGGGGGGGGGGGGCGGGGGCTCTGCACCCTCTCTGCACATCCCTAGATCCGCCACTGTGTAAACTCACAAAATACACGTCATGCCTGTGCTACAGCTTATTTGAAAAGCTGGTCTCTTGACTTGTGTCTGGATGACTTGTGGTTACCTTTGATAGCTTTTGGTATGTGTGCCTATAAAAAAAAAACAGGGATTTTGCACCATGTAACAAATCTCTTTTGTGAGTTTGTGAGGTTCTGAAAAGAAACGGAAGAAACTCACACAAAAAAGAGACTTGATACATGCACATGGTGCAACCGCAAACTTAATCTTATCAAAAGCAATACGCAACAGCCTACAGTTGTGAACTGAATCCACACCATACGTTGCTTGAACCCCCACGTGAAATCGCGCGCTATTGTTTGTACACCTGTCGCAATATCCATAGTCTTTGTATCTGGCGTCTGGTTTCATCTTTGTTGGAACAAGTGTTAGCCTTTAATGTTCAAATCAAATGAAAAGGCTGAACATTTGGTCTTTGCATTGCAGCAGGTGATTTGACTCCAGCAAGAAAAGAATCCACATTAGGCCAAATCTCTCTCAAGTATAGAGGCTTACAGTCAGCAGTGTGTATTCAAGTCACTGCAAGTCCATCACAAGTCCATCACAAGTCTTTCAGTCTCAAGTCAAGTCACTAGCTATTCAAATGAACTGTGACAGCAGCATTCCTTTGTCATTGTTCGTCCAGTTACTTGTGACTGGACTTGTGAAAGGACTTGAGAAAGGACTTGTGATGGACTTGGGTACAACACTGACAATCAGGAAGATGCAGCCAATGTCAGAGCTGAGAAATGCAAAAAAACTTGGATAGCACAAGGGCGGCTCCATAACACAATTTTTTGGGGGGTCAAATAAAATCGTGTTCCCCCAAAAATGGGTCAAAAAAAATTATGGCTAGGTGTTCGGGGCCCGCTTAAGGGCCAAATTTTTTTTTGATTCTTGATGCTCTATGGTGTGATCGAGGCAATTTCTGCCCTCTTTAACCAATTTTTTTGTGAGGAAAAGATGGTGGTGTACGCAGTGCTTGCCTTTATTACGACGTAACTTTAAAAAAAAAAGCAATGGGGTTCATTTGGGGGGGGGGGGGGGGGGGCGTGGCCCTTGTTGGCTCCCCCCCCCCTAATCCGCCTCTAGGATAGCATGTGAGAAACGCAACTTGTGTTTAAAAAGAAATCTAAACACACATGGGATGAAAAAGCACAACATTTACCTCGTACGTTTTGTCTCTCTTCTTCCAGTTCTTTATCCAGAGTTTACTAGTCCTAGACCCCAACAAGCGACTGACTGCCGCGCAGGCCTTGGACCACCCATGGGTGAAGGGCACAGCCAGCAAGGCACCGCTGCGGAACCTGACTGAGAACATCCAACAGTTCAACGCCAAGAGAAAACTCAAGGTAAGTCAGGCCAGTTCTGGATTTCTTAAGCCTCTGTACTGATGACGTCACACTTTGTTTACTTGTGCACTTTTGTATGGGCTAGGAAGCCGTCATCCCCACTAGGCTCCCATAAGAAAGCACACATGTAAACAAAGAGTGACGTCATCAGTACAGAGGCTAATTATTGGCTACTAGCTGCTTGCTACAACACTGTTTTAGCAATGAAATTTCTGATTTTGTTTTTTCATTGATGTTAAAATTGGTATCAGAATACCAACGAGATACAGATGTCGTTCTTTGTTTATATGTATGCTTTCTTATTGGAGCCAGGTAGGGATGACGTTCCCTCACGACCTCTGTCGGCTGTCATTTTTTGAAGATATGTGCATTTCATACATGTTATTAAAAAAAAAAGGTAAAGGGGACGAATCTGTGTTCACAGGATCTGAGTGCCCATCTCTCTTTCGTTTAGCGATTGGGCCAGACTCATATGCTGCTGTGGGGGGATCGCCCCACTCCTCCACAGCGAGTCTGTTACCTTCCCAGCATTGAATAATGCCAGTACCCATTTAACACCTGGGTTGAGAGGAGTAATTGAGGTAAAGCGCCTTACTCAAGGGCACAACACGCATGTCCACAAAGGGGCTCGAACCCACAACCTCACGATCATGAATCCTGTGCTCCACCGCTAGACCACACGTGCCTACATATTATTGCTAATCATAATTTGTGTTCTTAACACAGGCTGTTACGAACGCAGTCATAATGATGAACAGGCTGCACACGGGGGAGTGGAAGACACCCGTCAGGCCCAGAGCCGCACCCCCGAGCCCGCCCACTGTGGAAACCGAACCGACTGTAGAAGCTCCGCCCATCCAGCCAGCTACACAGGCAGAATGATGCAGTATATGCACACAGCTAGACCTGATTGGGCCCTCCAACTACGTTAGGTTTGAAGATAGTTAAGAGGTTTCACATGGGAATGAATGCATTATGTTTAACTGTCCGTAACTTTTACCGGTTAATTACACTGTTTCGCATCATCTGTACGTGCTCAGTTAGCTATGTGGATCAATTACCTGTAGCAAAATGTACTAAAAAATGGCAGCTTCAGTTAGCTGTGGCTTATTTATGGGAAAGAACGTTGCATTCTGATACCACTTTTTTCATTATAATCATCTAAATGGAGGTTAGCCATTGCAAAAATTATGAAAAGACATGAATCTCCAGGCACTGAGAAACATTTCCAATTTTGTTAGCAAATACTTTGATATTCTTCTTGACTCTCTATAGACTTTGTACAAAACAAACGAAGTGGCATCTGGATACCTCATTCTTTCCCATCTTTAAACACAGACACATGTTCAGTGATTACATAAATTCACAGAGCCTAAGGAAGTTGGAAATCAAGAGTTTACATTGTGTTTCACATTGACGCGTAGCGATTGTATATCTGTCAAAAGTTAGTCGCGTATGAAGTCACAATACCACACAAACTGATGGCCTTTCCAGTGCACTTACTGTGACTGCGTGTAAGCATTCTCACGTAAAACCTCTCTATTTATCTGGCATCTATGGCAAGGAGTATACTGCCAAGGAGTATACTGAAGTTTCATACAAACATCAATAAGAAATAACAGATTCAAAACTTAAAATGCCAACAGGTAAACCAAAGATCAATTTTTTTTACCTCACGACAAAATGGATTTGAGCACACATGTCAAAAGGTACTTGAAATTAATTTGGTTTTGTCTCAATTGGTGATTTTATATCAGACTTTATTTTCCTGTTCTTCGAAATGTGTGGTCAATCCGTCCCTTGCATTGATGGAATAAAGGCAGGGGCACTTCGCTAAGATTTAACCCAGCTAGACTATTGTCTTCCTGATCCTGTGGGTTTAAAGTAAAAAAAAAAGAAGGAATTTCTGTTTTATAGTCAATCGTTTATGAGTTACGAAAAAAATAAACCCCTTTAAGCATGTAAGGGAAAAAAGTTGATTTTAGTGTCATTTTACGCTAATATCAATTGGAAACTAATATCAATACGGGCAGTTCCCAATACATCGTGCCACCAAGAAGTTAAGAGTCCACTTTTTGCAGTGTGAGACAGTCCACACATTCGGAGACGGTCGACAAATTTGCCATGTCGTGGGACACTTACAATTGTTAGATTATCATGTCAGTAGTTTCGCAAGTGTATGATTGGAGTATCTTTTTTTTTTTTTTTTTTTTTTTTTATCAAGATGCGTTTTTACGCGATGCAGCAGTACCTCGATCTATCAAAAAATGTCCTCGAGTTATCTATTGACATTCTTTCAAATCGCGGCAAGTCAGCCATGTTTTTGTCGACCGAAATTTGCAAAATGGACTCCTTGGCAACCTCTTGGTAGTGCACTTAATTTGAAATCGTCCGTATTGGAAATAAAGTGCAGTCTGGATATGTCAGATTGGCATTTGTCTATCCAAGAGAAAGTTGAAATTTCTAAAAAGAGTTCTCCAGAAAATGGAAAACTCAGCAAGTACATGCACTTGCACCCTTTATATTTTTGCGTGCATGGTTGCAATGTTCAAAATGACACTGCAGTAAGATGTATTCGTATAGGATGAATACTCAATGTCACTTGCCAGTCTCACGTTAGCATTAATGTAACACACGTAAGACTAGGATCACCACATTAGCATTTGGACGATCATTCGTTTTAAACATTTTCACAGGCGAGAACGTGCAAATGTTTGTGACTTTTTAGTCTTTTTGTATTTTTTAATAGTTTGATTAAAGATGTGTATCTTATACACATAAAGAGCATGTACTCTGACGAAATGGTTTATGTAAATGTAATAAAAAATAATATGTAACATTCAAATTGTCTTCTTTTCATGCACTATATCCATGGTATGTGATTGACCATTGTACAATCTGGGTGCTGGTTTTTTGGTAGCAAAACATACCCTAGGTTACCATTGAAAATATCACACCATATTAATAGATGCTTTAGCTTGTTTCGAGCCTGTGTTTTGGCACCAACTCAAAATTAACCTTTTAGCCATTGTATTAAATTGTATTAGTCCAAAAAAAACAACATATTTGGTCTCTGGCCAGACCTAAGTTCCGAAATTGATGCGGCGACGCGTTTTTTTTTTTTTTTTTTTTCAAGCTTGGATTGTACAGACAAGGTGGGTACTATTTTGCTTTTGTTGTGTCCTCATATACATTGGTGGGTTTCCCCATTCCTTGGTACAAAACTTTGAGGAGGTGCAGCAATAGAGGGCGCTGCTGTAGCTACTAATTCTTTTTTTGGCCTTACATTGTATTCATTCCTCCATGAGTCAATAAAACCACATAGAGCTGGGGCTATTTGGGGCGGTACGAGGAGTAACAGACAGGGCAGTGTGGGATGGTACGGTGGCTAAAGAAGGGTTAATTAATTAGATTCCGGTATATTTTTTCTGCTATGCTACATGTATGTGTATAGCAATGAACCTAGCAATGAACCTGTCCACAGGCAGAATTAAAAATAACGGTTCTATAATAATACTATGTATAGAGTAGCAAGTGAACATGAAATATTTTAAGTACCAGAAATGTAATTCCACTACTGTTTTGATAATGTAGGTATGTACCTAAACTTTTGTGTAATTTTAACACCTTTTTGTATACTGTGTAGTGTTATTTTAAAAGTGCAGCTATGTAAATCACTTATTCCAGATTTTAATTTTTTTTTACCAGATCGGACTTAACGGCTGATGTTTTTAATACTAAAGAACGGTTATCAGGAATGGTTTTGTAAATGTGTTAATAACGGAGATTAAAGGTTAATGATAAATGTTGAATTGTGTACGTAAATAATGTATATAAAGTTTGTATAACATTTGTTAAAAAGGAAAATGTACTTTTGTGGTGAAAGGAGGAATATTTAGTACTGTAATAATAAGCTCAGAACTAACCATATTTGGATTATACTTAGGCATCTGCTTTAAGAATGTAAAGGGGTCATCCATAAAAATCAACATTTTCTAAAGCGTACAAAAATACTCTTTTTGGCAGACCCCGTCCCCTTTTCCGGAAGAGTTACTTTTGAAAATGTTGATTTTCAAAGATATCCTGAAACAAACAAGTTCGTTCATAGCGCCGCAATTAGTTGTGGAATGGACCATTATCATGTTGCAGTTCCCATTCAAACCAATGTAACCAAAGTGAGGCTGGAAGGAAATATAGTCTGGTTCCTTTGTGCACAAAAACATTGTCATTCAGTACTGTTATTGGATACAGGGAACATGACTAAAATAAAGGTCTATATCAGCATCTTGAAGCTAGGCTGGCTAGGCTCATGAGGCACTTGCCGAACGCGCACACGCACGCAAATGCAACTCAGCGCTACTAAAGTGGCGGCTGAAAAGGGCAGCATCGCGTATGTTTGTTACCGGCGCGTAGGCGTAGAACATGAAGCTGAATGACAATGGCTTCACCCATGAATCACGAGCTGGTCCGGAGTTCGCCGAGTTGAGGCATCCGTGTTTTTTTTTATGAAAGATCTTCTGAAAGCCCATCACCCCCCCAAAAATACTGAATTTCAAAAGCGTTCATTGGTCTAAGTTAACCGCCTCCCCGGCCCCTTGAGCGTAAATATTGTAAGCGTTAAAATGTCGATTGTTATGGATGACCCTTAAGTCACTTCCTCAGTTTTGGTTGATCCACTTCATCCCAACGTGAAGTGGAGAGAGTTACAGTAGAAATCAGCCAAAAATCAACCAAGAGACACCTTTCCCGAAATAAACCATCTTGTATTTGTTGTACTGTATTACAATTCCTACATTTGTAGTTTCATTATTAACAATGGAAAACATCAATAGCAAATTCCACCTTCAGAAAACACACATGTATAATCATCCGTCCGTCTGTCGTTGAGGTTTTAGTACATGTATGGTTCCACCAGCAACTTCACCTGCAACTGTCCCCTAGCTGGTAGTTGGCACTTGGACTTGCCTGGTACTTCCTACCATTTGGATAGTCATGCCTTGCGCGTGCAGCAGATAGCTCATGTTTCTTCCCTGATGCACTGGCACATCGACCAATGAAAGAAGCGCTTTTACTCATAAATATGCATGAGATGCAATACGGAATATCTGTAATGGGCTTTGAATTATTACTTTAACGACACCTTTCCTCAGAGGCAGGAAAAAAAACCCATTGCTTCCTAGTCTACAGCTGCTTTGCATTGCTGTTTTGTGTCAAGAGGCTTCCGAATTTCCTGTTTAGAATAGCATATAATTCCTGTATTGTTGTCATGTTTGTTGGAAAAGAGAAATTATATAAACGGGCTACAAAGGGTGGAACGGGGGGGGGGGGGGGGGTGCAATGGGGGCCCCCCCCAAAAAAATACGAACCCAATTAATTTTTTTAAGTGGCGTCGCAATAAAGGCAGGCACTGCATGCATACACCACCATCTTTTTCCTCCAAAAGATTTGGTTAAAGTGGTCAGAAATAGCCTCAGATCGCACCACAGAGCATCTAGAATCCATTTTTTGTTTTGCGGGGCTCTTAAGCGGGCCTGAACCCCACCCCTTTTTTTTTTTGGTCCTACTTTTTGGGAAACCAAAATGTTTTTGCCCCCCCCCCCCAAAAAAAATTGTGTTCTGGATCCACCCATGTGGGTTACGTTCAAACACCCAGGCTCTGCTGAAGTTGGTTTTCATGGTTCAGTGAAACAACGATCAGGGCCCAATTTCTTGGCTCTGCTTACAGTTAACAAAGGTCCTGGGGCCCAATTTCACGGCGCTGCTAGGCACAAAAACTTGCTTAACACAAAAAAAGTCTGGCATATAAAAAAGCAGGTTACCAGCCAAAACTCCATGTGATGTAAATTGCTCGTGATAAATGTTCAGCTGTTTTCACTTGGAGTTTTGGCTGGTAACCTGCTAAAGTCAGACTTTTTGTGCTGAGCATTTTTGTGTGCTTAGCAGCACCGTGAAATTGGGGAGCAGATCATTTTGTGCTTGCTTGTAAGAGTATTTCACAAGTTAGCAAGGAAATTTGGCCTCTGCGTATGCGTTCATCCTGCAACTATTAAGGATTCTGTGCTTACAGGGTTAGCACAGAATTTTTCTGCTAGTGCCGTTAGCACAAAATGGTGACAGTTGGCACGGAATTCTGTGGTTAGCAGAGCAATAAAATTGGGCCCTGATGTATCTTGGGTTTTCCCCCTTGCGATGACTAAATGCATCTTTGGTTTTCAAAGAATATATACTCATCTGCCAAACTAACACCAAAAAGTACCACATTGTTACAAAACTTTAAATTGGAGCTTCCAGAGAAACAAGCCTCTCAATTGTTTATTTCACATGGGCAGAGTTATTTTAAAAAGCTGAAAACAATTTGTTTTATTAAAAGGTTTTTCTTGATCAACATTATCATGGCTTACGCATATACATGTGTTCAACTTTTGTATGAACATGAACTGTACTGCACATAGAAAAGAATATAGCTTTATTACATATTCACATAGTATTTTCCAATATGAAAATGTTAATTCACCAATTGTTTTTGTAGAGAATGCTGATGAAATTAACAAGCTGTACAAAATAACTTTCCTAAAACATTTTAGTACATTGTAAAAGAATGTAGTTCCTTACATGTACGATGTATACAACCTATCTACATGTACATGTATTTGTATACAATCAACAGTTAAATTCCAAGTTTATGACAGTACAGGTATCTGTAAATAGTTTTGACTTTTGGCAAAAAACTATTTTTTATTTTCAAATGTGTGCAAATCATTCTGTAATAAAATAAATGTAATTTATTTCATAATAAATGTAATTTATTTCATTCCAAAACAAAATTTGATGTAAAGACACAATTTGGTCATCTGCTTTATAACTTAAATAAAACTAAGAAATTTGGTTTAGTCTCGTCAAACCTAACACTATATTTGATGAGCGTCTTTTTGTTTTGTATAGTAGTCATAATCATGTAATTATGGAAATACACAAGCATGTACATTCATGGGACACATTCAAAATGCTTGTTATTTGCCCCTTAAAGGCAATATTAACTGATTGAGAATCTACGTGAGAGCAGAATTTGATATTGTTGAATGAATAAAGTTTTTTAACGCACGGAGCTGCGTCATTATTATCCCAGCTCACTGGACCGATTCAATTTTCCAAAGGCAATCTCAGCTCCCTGGGGAGTATACCTGTACTGCTCGATGCTGCCATTTCAGCACAATGTAGCTAAAGTCAATCACAATCTCTGCCCTCACAGGCGCTATAGGTGGGGAGAAGCAATGAGTGACAAAGTACCTTGCCCAAGGGCACAACCCCAGGCTGGATTTGAACCCACGACCTGCAGAATTACATGCAGACCATAAGTTCAATTCTCCAGACCACAGCACTCCACACACAAAACAAGAGTGCAATTGTTCTCACCATACATGTACATTACAGTGAAATCTCGATACGTCAAACCTCAAGGGAACAGGTTCAAAATTTGACTTCAGCAGAGTTTTGAGCTAAGCAGGGTTGTATAAATACTACCGAAGGCAATGGATTCTTTGTTTAACTTAACAGTTGTGAGTTATCAGAGTTTGACTAATGGAGATTTCACTGTATATGGTTTCTGTGTTTTCACATCACTATCAAGTTTTGTGAAGACTCCTCTTTGGGAAATATGTCTTGATGTAGAAATTTAATGAAAAGTCACTAAAAAGGTTGCAAGTTGAAACCCTAGGGCTTCTTGAAATTCTGGTTATTTCAGATGCATATGGATATGTTATGTTCTGTGTGGATCTCAATACTCCTATTGACATACATGTAAGTCATTTGGCAGTGCATGCTTTAGCATGATGTACATGATTGTGACAAGTTGGATATACTACGCTGAATTCTATTGGTTAGTTGGCCAAACTCTGTGAACAGACGGGTGTGATTACAACCAATCCCAAACCTTTTCTCTTTTTGTACAAGTATCTAACTGATAAAGTACTATTTAGAACAACACCTGTATAGTTTAAGACAAGCAGAAATTTTCCAGTATTATTTTTAACATGAAAAAGTGTACGCATAGTTGTATTTAACTGATAACCTTTTTGACAGAAAAAATACATGTAAACATAAATGAAAAACAATAAAGAAGAAAATGGGACAAACTTACAGCCTTCACAAATCATGACTTCATTATTCTGCATTTGTAAATACCTAAGATAGTTTACCCATTCCTATTGGTCAAGAGCCTGTCATGTGGGTGGTTTTAAATGGTTGATAAAACACTGACTGGTTTTAAACACTTTTTTTCCGGTGTCGCATGGAATTTGGACTCGCATGAAATCTGTTCCCTTTTTAGCCTTTTATTGGTTGAACCCTCGCATGTGACCAGTCACTCTCATAGTTATCTGCATGCGCAATACTACCAAAAGTCTATCTTTCATAGAGTCCTGAATGCACACTATACAGAATGTACTGGCTCCGCTGCATTCCGTGCCACATCGCACAGTATGCATGCGGCATGCGCACACCAATCTCCATATAAGGAGATTTTTTAGTACTACTCGCAAGAGGCACATACCATAAACATGGCTAATGGGGTGTTTCACAAAACATGGAAGTAAAATAAAATTGTTGGAAATTTATAATTTTTTACTTGTTTTTACTTTTTAACCAAATGTATTATGAATGGGGAATAAATATGTGTTTGGCCGGTATACATGTAAATTTATTGATTACCAATAATGACCCTCGCCTTTGGCTTGGGCCATCATCCGTGTCCAGGCCCCTAGCCAGTTTTCAACGTACTTGTTTAAAAAATGACAAGCACATTATTCTACAATAGTTTCTACTCATGTTCTTCTATTGGGTACAGTACATTTACTTGCTGGTAATTCCTCTGGCCCAGATACATGCACGTACCTGTGCATACCCTACAACTGTAAGTTTGATGTCCCTTTTCTTATTGATTTTTTTCCTTTTTTCCATTTTTTTCAACAAATGAATACAACCTTTGCATGAATATTCCTCCTTTTCCAGAACAAAGTTGCTCATTTTTTCCTCTTTTTTTCCCCTTTTGCTTTTCCCACTGAACGTCGGCATCACATGACAAGTTTAAGGCCACATCATCTGTTCATATACATTTTACAAGCACTGTATTCAGTGTAAGATGGGGCTACCCCAAATATACCGAATATTAGATCATCAACCAAATATTTGAATAGCTTTTTGCTGGTTCGAATATTCGAAGAAAACAAAGAAGACAAATAACTATGCGCGTACACTCATGACTGTGTTATATTAATTGTCAGATGCCACTTTTTTTGATACCCCAGCAAGTCAATTACTTTTGAAATATGCCGATATCCACATGAAAATCTTGATGCTACAAGAAGGCGCACGTATATGTTGATCAGTGGCCCATAATTTTGATCGACGCATGCAAATTTTAATAGACGTGATTTGCATGTAACTTTTGACTGGTGCAGCGCACAGTTGCAGCTGGCTTGATTGGCGAGTTTTGAATATTTGAATATTCAGTCTAATGCATTTCGAATAATCGAATACTAAATTATTCCAAAATGGACAACCCTAATGTACGATGAGCAATTCATACTACAAAGCTTCTTGTATCATAAAAAAACTCTAACATGTCGATAATTATTTCTTGGACAACTTTCTCTCTCTCTCGTCTCTGTAACTCCCAAGAACCTCCGTCTCCCATGCCCTCTTTTTCTTCCGCAGGCGTTTTGCCCGTTTCGAAGGAAGACGCCTTATTGCACTGTCGTCCAAATGTTCATCTGACTTTTCCTCCCCACTGGCGCTGCCATCCAAAGAACAGCTACGGTCACTCTCTGATGAGGGTAGACAAATGCGTCGCTTCTTTCTGATCACTGGATGCTTTCTTTGCTGCTTTCTCTGCCGATAGTTGCAGATGAGCTCCTCATGGGATGGTTTGTTTATCCCTGAAGTGTCCGAGTGACCTGGTGTACCATCACTAGAGCTACTTGTGGCTATGAATGAGTCCTCACTGTCTGTACCGTATTGGCCTTGATCCACGCCATTAGGGTCGTTGTCAGTGTCCGAGTCTGTACTGTCGTTTTCGAAATCTGGCATGCCATCGCTAGAGCTACTTGTGTCTTCCAATGACTCTTCACCCTCTGCCTGATACCGGTACTTGGCTTTATAATAAAGACGGACTTTATTCATGCCATTCGATTTGTCAATGTCCTCACTTTGGATGCGTTTTTCTGTCTTGACTTCTATCTTGATTTCAGGAACTGGGGCTTTGACCGGTTCACTTCCAGACGGACCTGGGGGGATTACCCAAGGCTGGTTCGGTTCATCATCAGACGGACTGCTTTTGATCGCTGAAAATGACCCCATACCTGTTGACCTGCTGTCTTCTGCTTCATTTGAAGTCTCTTCCTTGACTTCAAGCTTAACTTGAATTGGTGGGGCTTCAACAAGTTCACTTCCAGATGGGTCTTGGGTGGATGCCCTAGGCTGGTCCTCCTCCTCATCATCAGAAGACCCATCACTCTGAATGGAGACTCTGACATGCCGTTTCTTTCTCTGACTTGGTAAAGGCACATCCTCCTCGCTGCTGGTCTCGGAACCGGACGACAGACTTGCTGGCAGCCTTTGCTTGTGAGTCTTCAAGGGTCTGGCTAACTCCTCTTCGCTATCGCTTCTGCTACCTGCTGATCCTGTTATTCTCCTTTGATTTCTACCCCTGCGCGAGATGGGCTTCTCAGGTGTCTTGCTTTGCTCGTCACCTTCACTAGTGCTATCGGAGGAAGAGTTTGACTGAATACTCCCCTCTTGTGTTGATTCATCACTGCTGCTGGAAGAGCCATCATCAATAAAATTGTCATCCGAAAACTCATCAAATAGGTCGATTCCATCTGGATTGTTGTAGTAGTTTCGCCTATGTTAGGGAAGATAGGGAATACCGTAGATGGAGATTAATAAGTATAGCCTCAACAATAGATACATATTCATGTACGTACATGTATTTGGAACTTAGATGTCCCACAAGTCAGTCACAAGTCATCCAGTTCAAAGTCAAGTCACAATCTACATGTACATAGATGTATTCCAACATCTCAAATGAACTGACAATGGAATTCTTTTGTTGCCCTTCATCCCCTTCTGACTAGTGACCAGATTTAAGATGGACTCGACTACAACCCTAGAACATGCAGGTGTCAAACAAACGTCCAATGCCTTACGCCCAAAAAGTCAAACTGTTTAGTCTGATTCAAGAGTCAAATACAAAGTAATGTGTCTGAAAATGATGTACATGTAGATCTACACATGTATCTGCATACGGGTCATTCCGTGTCAAATCAACACGCTTTTGGACCCGACCCTCACAGATTGAAACGATATTTGGTGTGATGATTGGCCTATATGAGAAACCCCCAGAACTGATTTTTTTTGTAAATTGACTCGTTAGTTTTTGAGATACGGGTCAACGAACTTTTGACTAATTAGCATGACCTCCGAACTTTAAATACTTGTATCTCAAAAACTATAGCGCCTACAAAGCCAAGTTGTACATCATATTAAAGCTCTTTGAATGGCCTCCATTTCATAAAATAAAACCAAAATCGTAGCATGAAGTGCAGAGAAAATGCGTAACAAAATGACCTTTGACCTCGAATTACGAAAAACAATATGCTTCAAATTTTGTAATTTTTTTTCAAATGTTAGTTTATGATGTCAGCAACAATCTTAACAAAAAATTGGGATGGGCGCTCTTAAAGTTTTTAGGTTATGATTTTTTGAAGAAAGCCTGTCCATGAAAAAGTATGCATAATATTAAATGTACATGTATGTACATGTACATGTACATGTATACTTGTACTGTGTACATATGTACATGTGCCATTTTACTTGTGCATCATGTTTGCCCTTTACAATCATATAGTCTCAACTCAAAGGGCAGAACAAAATTACTTATAAAAAATATGTTATACCGGTCTATGTTACTTTCATTTTTTGCTCAACCAAAGTCTGTGTTGCAGTGTTCATCTCCTCGGCGGAGATCTTGTATACGCGTCCTGTTTCAGTGAACGGTTCCACTGCTGTTAGTACATCCTTGCCATGAATTACAAGTGTGTCTGGTCGATAGGGGAACTTGAAAGATGGAGATGGCCCATGGGGATGAAGGAAACTCAGTTCCACTTCTTGGGATGCTGGAAGGATCTCCTGAACACATGCTAGCCACCAGTAACAGTCATACATCACTGTAACATACCCCTTGATATCTGCAAAATCAATACATGCAGTTTGTCCATGGACTTGGAGACAAACTGGTTCCTCCCTTGAGTCTGATGAGGAGGAAAAATCACGCACCTTAATTTTGTCTTTAGACATCGGACAAAAACAGTGCAGCTTTTGTGTTCCTGGAATGGTACGTGCAATTTGGAATCTTTGCCTGAGAATATCCGCTTCATTCTTGTATTGCTCTGTTGTTGCAAAAGCGAAGTCCATTCTGAGGGGTCATAATCTGCTGATCCAAAGGTCGCTGGAGACTAGCTCTTGCTGCAAGGCGTTTAACAGTTCCTCCAATTCCATCAGATGGGCCTTTCCCGTGGGAGATTGCAAAAAAATGCCAATCTGCTGGTACACCAAAATCCTCTTCGTGATGGCACAAGTTGATGAAATTCTTGAGGTTCTTGTACTGAGCAGCACAACCATCTGAGAAGTACAATATCTTCTTGAAACTTCCAATCTTATTAGTGAGAAATTGAAGGAGCAATTTCTGGAACAGATGTACTGTTACAGTATCATGGGTATTACAGTCTGAGATGACGACAAAGCTTAGGTGCTCATCAAGTTTGCCTTCTTGTTGGAAGTAGCACACCTAGGGGTGAATTGTAGCCTGTAGATTGTTCCAGTAGAATGACTGGGCAGCATCCTGAACTACAAAACTGTAATTTTCTGCAAAATCTGCAATGACCAAGATTTCGCTTGGTTCCATGTTGTCTGTAGTGTGCTGGAGAAAGTGACTCTGCTGTTTGGCAATAAAGTCATGATGTAGTAACTTGCGGAGAGTAGCCATGAAGGAATCCAAAAAATCATCCACTGTATGAATTTTGGTTTCAAGTGTTAAACTGTTGAACGCCTTGCAGCAAGAGCTAGTCTCCAGCGACCTTTGGATCAGCAGATCATGACCCCTTGGCAGCTGTATGAATTTGCTACTTCTCAGAGAAAGAGTACTGACTTCGCTTTTGCAACAACAGAGCAATACAAGAATGAAGCGGATATTCTCAGGCAAAGATTCCAAATTGCACGTACCATTCCAGGAACACAAAAGCTGCACTGTTTTTGTCCGATGTCTAAAGACAAAATTAAGGTGCATGATTTTTCCTCCTCCTCAGACTCAAGGGAGGAACCAGTTTGTCTCCAAGTCCATGGACAAACTGCATGTATTGATTTTGCAGATATCAAGGGGTATGTTACAGTGATGTATGACTGTTACTGGTGGCTAGCATGTGTTCAGGAGATCCTTCCAGCATCCCAAGAAGTGGAACTGAGTTTCCTTCATCCCCATGGGCCATCTCCATCTTTCAAGTTCCCCTATCGACCAGTAATTCATGGCAAGGATGTACTAACAGCAGCGGAACCGTTCACTGAAACAGGACGCGTATACAAGATCTCCGCCGAGGAGATGAACACTGCAACACAGACTTTGGTTGAGCAAAAAATGAAAGTAACGTAGACCGGAATAACATATTTTGTATAAGTAATTTTGTTCTGCCCTTAATATATATATGAGTTGAGACTATATGGTTGTAAAGGGCAAACATGATGCACAGGTAAAATGTACACATGTACATGTACACAGTACAAGTATACATGTACATGTACATGTACATGTACATTTAATATTATGCATACTTTTTCATGGACAGGCTTTCTTCAAAAAATCATAACTTAAAAACTTTAAGAGCGCCCATCCCAATTTTTTTTTAAGATTGTTGCTGACATCATTAACTAACATTTGAAAAAAAATTACAAAATTTGAAGCATATTGTTTTTCGTAATTCGAGGTCAAAGGTCATTTTGTTACGCATTTTCTCTGCACTTCATGCTACGATTTTGGTTTTATTTTATGAAATGGAGGCCATTCAAAGAGCTTTAATATGATGTACAACTTGGCTTTGTAGGCGCTATAGTTTTTGAGATACAAGTATTTAAAGTTCGGAGGTCATGCTAATTAGTCAAAAGTTCGTTGACCCGTATCTCAAAAACTAACGAGTCAATTTACAAAAAAATTCAGTTCTGGGGGTTTCTCATATAGGCCAATCATCACACCAAATATCGTTTCAATCTGTGAGGGTCGGGTCCAAAAGCGTGTTGATTTGACACGGAATGACCCATACCATACTTTCCTTGTGGCCTTTGACACTTTTTGTCAGTGTTGTAGTCGAGTACTTTTATCCGAGTACAAAGTACTGCCAAATACAAAGTACTACCAAGTACCACCGAGTACCAAGCTATCGAGTACCATCTGAGTACTTTAACCCTTGGGATTGAGTACAGGGACCCGAGTCCAAGTTCTTGGACCCTGAAGTACAAGTGTTGTGAAGCTGAGTCTGAATAATTGAACCTCCAGTATATGGACCTCAGACCTCCGAGGAGAGTACACACTTTATAGAGTCCTCACATGAAAAAAAAATTAAACTCTCAGTAAATATCGATAAAACTATTTAGTAACTATTAATAACACGAAGTACGTGCGTCTCCAAGTGAGGAATTTTTTTTCATTCAAAACTAAATTACTTGATTTTTCCCCGAGCCCTAATAATCGAGTACGGGTACTTTGATGATGGAGTACGATATCGAATAGCCAAGTCCGAGAACTTGCCTCTCGAGTAGAGTACTGAGTAAGAGTACTACAACACTTTTTCTTGTAGTACCCTAAGACACAGCCTCACAGGCATCTCCTGAGTTGTAACCAAGCAGTCTCAAGTCATCACAAGCATAATCCGTGACAAATCAACGGTGACAAAGTCATTACTTTGTCATTGTTTTATCCCATACACACTGAGACTGACTCGATTGCAACTCTAAGCATCCCAATATAACATGGAAACTTGGAACACTGTATGAATGACTTACTCTTTGACAAAGTTATTGACCAATTTCCGTGGGGTGTATTTTCTGTAATTCTTAAACGGTGTCTCGTCATCGGCCACTTTGTCCAGCGCCTCTTTGCGACTCGGCAGGTTGAACTTCTGCTTGGACTTCTCGCTCAGTCGCAGGGAGAAGTGGCGAGAAGTAGATGGGGAGGTGGGTGAACACTATGAAAGAAAGTAATAGACATAAAAGAGTAAGACATTGATACAGGAAAACAGTATTTACCATGAAGGCACTTGAAATGTTTCAGCACAGCAACCCCCCTCCCCTTTCATTTTACAAATAGCTGCCACACTGAAAATGTACAGTAAAGTTACATGTACATAGTGAGCTAGGGGAAGGGGGATGTACAGGCCGCATGGGGGGGGGGGGGGGTGTGTACCCACTCACTTAATTTTGCGGCTCTGTACGCAACATCCCCTTTCATTATTTAGGGCAAACTAGACCTACATGTATCACACAATCACAACAATCCAATTGTCGATTTACTGCACACTTGTGATCTACAATGTATCTGTAAATATGTTCTTCTTTCACTGACCTATGATGTCCTTCTTCAGTTATTCAACTGAGGCCATGAGAATGAAAGTTTTAGATTTGCGTCCGGCAATTTTCCGGATGACAGGAGTTTTTTTCCATTATTCATTGTTTTATTTCAAGTGAGTTTCTTCCTGAATACCATCTGGAAGGAACGCTGTCTCTCAGGAAAAACAAAGCTCAGCCTGTACAATAGCCTGGTCCTGTCAATCCTGTTGTATGGCTCAGAGACATGGACCCTCTCCGCTGAGCTAGAACGAAAGCTGGATGCATTCGACACAAAGGCCCTCCGCCATATCGAAGGTATTAATTGGCAGAATTTTGTGAGTAACAAAGACCTCCGTCTTCTCACCAATCAACCCCTGGTCTCACATCTCATTCGCGCCTCACGTCTTCGGCTTTTTGGGCATATTGCTCGAGCTGACCCACAGATGGAGCATGCTCTTCTGCTGAAGGAGCCTCCCCCAAACTTGCCCCGTCCAAGGGGTCGCCCCCGTTTGCGTTGAACAGACAACTTGGAGGAAGACCTCAGGGCAATGGGGCTGAATCTGTCAGCCGGTTGGAGACTTGCCCAGAACCGACTGGACTGGAACCTGCGCTGTCCAAATGCTACGCTCTTCCCGAGCATGGGAAATTGATGATGATGATGATGATGATGCTACGGGCAGGTGCGGGAGATGGACGCAATCTAAAATCTTCATTCTCAAGGCCTGAATTATTGCAAACTCCAACTTACATGTACATGTAATTCATATCATACACTAATGTTAGACCCGTAAACATGCAGGCGTCAATAACAACGCCACGTTCCAGAGTTACGTAGAAACACTCGACGCACGCAATTATACGGGTACCCGGACGGCTCCTACCATTTCGCGCGTGCATGACTCAGAGTACCATCGTACTGAATAAACCGTGCGTGACCTCAGAAAATCAAAAGTTTTGCTCATACGTTTGTCGTTGTGTTTAAGTCGTTTTTTTTTCCCCTCAAATTTCTTGGCAATGCGTAATCCTATGCTCGGGTACATTTAGAGAAAGCTTCGTAAGTAGCCTAACAAGTTACTTCTGTAGCCCCACTAGTGTGGCCTCGGTATTGCTGCGCTGTACAATCTCTCAACCGATAATACTAATAGCGCGCAAACATACAGTCTGGGCAATTCCATTTAAAAAGAAAGAGCCGTCGCATTGCAACTTGCACACCAGATAGACAAGATCGATTTGCATAAACGCGACGTCACAGCTTTGGGGTCACGCTTCTTACATTAAAAATGGCTGCCATCCCCAGATGTTTTTCGCGTGCATATGAACTCCACTCTCCAGAAAGATGCCAACATTTCTAGAAAAATTGGATATAAGGTCTGATTATTACTAAATATAAGGACAACTAAACAACCCGGAGGAAAGAAGCTGAGACATCATAGCATACAACCGTAGTAGCTGGAGTTACCCAGCCCTGAGTTTTATCATTGGGTTGTCATCTAGGACAACCCAATGATAAAACTCAGGGCTGGGTAACTCCAGCTACAACCGTAGTAGCCCTATGTAAAACAATTTGCGCCTTTTTTGGACAAACTCCTCAGTAGGTTGGGGAACCTGGCGTGTGTGGCCAGAGGTACAGCGCAGCAATACCGCGGCCACACTTTTGGGGCTACTTCTGTTAATACTGGCGAGATGACGTGCCGCTACTTCGTTCTAGTTCTGGAACTGGAAGTAACGTGCCGCGTAACAATTTCGAGCGTTTTTACGCGAGGCTGGAACGTGGCGTTGTTATTGACGCCACATATACGGGTCTTATTCATAGGCAAGAACTATGAGAACAGAAAGAGAAAGACAGACATGATCAATGAACGACAAACAGACATAACAATGATAACAATCAACCATGCCTACATGATGATGATGATAATGCGCCTATCATATCAAATGTTTTGGTCACTCAAATTAACAATAACATTGACGTACTAATGGAAAGGCAATCACTACACTAGACTAGTGCGCCACACGTATAAAGTCGGGGCATGGTCGGGGATTGTCACTTAAATTTTGCCCGTGGGGTGGGGAATTTGTCACTTCAAAAGTGACAATCCCCACGTCTTGGGTGGGGCAGCCTGGGAGGGGAGGGGTGGGGGAAACAATTGATATTGATAAATTGTATTATTTGTAAACATAACAAAACAAATTTGCTTTCAATTAACAAATGCACATGTGGCTTACTTAATCAATAAAAGATAAAACCAAGGGCCTCAGCTATACAGCCGAATCTTATTACCTGTAAATCAGTCATGGTTCCTTCCTCCAGACCATGGAATAAAAAGCAGACAAATTTGGAACCGGAAAGTGGATGGATTTACGGGTTTACGCGCGCTGATCTACTGATGAACACAGCGCCCTCTCTTGATTCCATAAATCTGACGTTTGATTCAGTCTGGTTCCTTTGTGCCGTATTAATGACTGCACGAATTCTCATGGACAAGTCAAGAAACTATCCGTGCTTTTAGTAACTGGATTTGTTGAGGTTTTCTCCAGCGACGGCGCTGAATCCGGTTTTAAAAAGGCTTATTATTGCTTCGCAAGCGGTGCTAATTAACCTAAAAACGAGACAGACATGTCATTGGTAAATTATTATTCAAGCAGCGATGATGAAAGTTCCAATGGGGAAGAAAAAACAGAAGAAAAACCTAATGTAGAATTTAGATCAGTCAAACTCGAAGAACACGAAGAATCTTCTGCCATGTCTGAACATTCTGAAGAAAGGCCAAGAACGAAATCCTCATTGTTTTCCACTTTACCAGCTCCGAAGTCATCTGAAAGAGATGTGCCAGGTAGGGTTATGAAATCTTTTGTTCAGGGAAGTTATAACATTTGTTATTTTGAAGTTTTTGTTGCCATTTAATCAACATTATAAATTGGGAAAGAATGCAGTATCATTCAACATGTTCAAGCAATAAACATGTCCAGACGCCACCTCATTGGTTGTGTACAAAAGTCTATGGAGAGTACAACAGTGCATTTTCAAAGTATTTTCTAACAAAATAGGAAATGTATCTCAGTCCATGAGTTATGTCTTTTCAACATTTTTGCAATGACTGACCGTCATTGAGATAATAGGCCTATATGATGAAAAAAGTGGTGTCAGGATGCAACATTGTTTCCATAAAATTGTGCAAACGTTAGTCAGTACATGTACAATGTACATGTAATCATTTGATTTGGCATATAAATGTAAAGAAACATATAGGCTACAAACATTTGGTAATCTTTGTTTCATAAGTGATAATTAAATACACATTTTGAAACATCTTTCGTTACCAACTTGTGCATTGCCAATGTGAACAAGTCACATGATCATGTCTGTGTTGAGGAATCGTTAATAATAATAATAATAATATTAATAATAACTAATTCTTGTATAGCGCCAAATCAGTCACAGAAATAAAAATGAACCAGTTAAAATTTAAAAACAAACTAAAAATTATACAAAAAAAACCTTTAAAATAACTAGGTGAACATGAAATTTTTTTTGTCTAAAACAGGCAGGTTAAAACGGACAGACACAGTAAAGCAACAGCGAGATGACCACAATAAAGAGACTTAGAAAAGACTTACACAAACAGTGGGAAACACACACCAAACAGACAGAAAACAGAATAACCATTTTAAAATTTAACTAGACTTATGTTTGTGGACAAACACAGGGCTGTTTCGGTAACTTTTTTGTGACATGTGACATGTAAAGTTTCAAGTATAAGTTCCATCCAGAAAGGATGTGTAGTTCTGTTTATAATAAATGGTGGCATATAAATATGTGATTACATTCTCATAGGGCCTTGTTGCGTCGTGGGTGACATTAGCATGGTTGCAATTATTTTCCTATAATAATAATTTTTCAGTTTTGTGTCACTAGCATGATTTTGTGCTTAATGCCGATGGTTCCGTTGCAGCACAAGCAAATCGTAGGTCAACCTGAAAAACAGCAACAGTAGTCAAAATAAAAGGAATTTGATCACCATCATGCTCTATATGTAACCTCTAAGATATTTTTGTCCTTGTAGAGGAGTCTGGTAGCTTCCCTGCCCCAGCAACAGGAACTACATCGTCCTCTATGGGTGGGCTACTCAACCTTCCAGCACCCAAGAAGAAGTCAGCCCAGCCCATAAAGATAACTGCTCCATCACTACCAGAGGTTTGTTGAATAAAGGGCTTTGGTGTAATATACAAATATTGACTGGAAATGAGGGCACTAGTGCGTATTTTATGCACTCCATTGGCCTGAATGACAAGAGGATTCAGTTTCTTAGGCCAGAGGCCAAGGTCTAGGCCCTCCTTGTGGTCATTCACAGATCCTAGGCCCTTCTTGTGGTCATTCACAGACCCTAGGCCCTTCTTGTGGTCATTCACAGACCTTAGGCCCTTCTTGTGGTCATTCACAGACCCTAGGCCCTTCTTGTGGTCATTCATAGACCCTAGGCCCTTCTTGTGGTCATTCACAGACCCTAGGCCCTCCTTGTGGTCATTCACAGATCCTAGGCCCTTCTTGTGGTCATTCACAGACCCTAGGCCCTTCTTGTGGTCATTCACAGACCTTAGGCCCTTCTTGTGGCCATTCACAGACCCTAGGCCCTTCTTGTGGTCATTCGCAGACCCTAGGCACTTCTTGTGGTCATTCACAGACCCTAGGCCTTTCTTGTGGTCATTCCCAGACCCTAGGCCCTTCTTGTGGTCATTCACAGACCCTAGGCCCTTCTTGTGGTCATTCACAGACCCTAGGCCCTTCTTGTGGTCATTCACAGACCCTAGGCCCTTCTTGTGGTCATTCACAGACCCTAGGCACTTCTTGTGGTCATTCACAGACCCTAGGCCCTTCTTGTGGTCATTCACAGACCCTAGGCCCTTCTTGTGGTCATTCACAGACCCTAGGCCCTTCTTGTGGTCATTCACAGACCCTAGGCCCTTCTTGTGGTCATTCACAGAGCCTAGGCCCTTCTTGTGGTCATTCATAGACCCTAGGCCCTTCTTGTGGTCATTCACAGACCCTAGGCCCTTCTTGTGGTCATTCACAGACCCTAGGCCCTTCTTGTGGTCATTCACAGACCCTAGGCCCTTCTTGTGGTCATTCACAGACCCTAGGCCCTTCTTGTGGTCATTCACAGACCCTAGGCCCTTCTTGTGGTCATTCACAGACCCTAGGCCCTTCTTGTGGTCATTCACAGACCCTAGGCCCTTCTTGTGGTCATTCACAGACCCTAGGCCCTTCTTGTGGTCATTCACAGACCCTAGGCACTTCTTGTGGTCATTCACAGACCCTAGGCCCTTCTTGTGGTCATTCACAGACCCTAGGCCCTTCTTGTGGTCATTCACAGAGCCTAGGCCCTTCTTGTGGTCATTCATAGACCCTAGGCCCTTCTTGTGGTCATTCATAGACCCTAGGCCCTTCTTGTGGTCATTCACAGAGCCTAGGCCCTTCTTGTGGTCATTCACAGACCCTAGGCCCTTCTTGTGGTCATTCACAGACCCTAGGCCCTTCTTGTGGTCATTCACAGACCCTAGGCCCTTCTTGTGGTCATTCACAGACCCTAGGCCCTTCTTGTGGTCATTCACAGACCCTAGGCCCTTCTTGTGGTCATTCACAGACCCTAGGCCCTTCTTGTGGTCATTCACAGACCCTAGGCCCTTCTTGTGGTCATTCACAGACCCTAGGCCCTTCTTGTGGCCATTCACAGACCCTAGGTGCGGTGATTTACCATTGGTGACTAAATATTTCTAGTCAGTATTTGTTTTTGCAACTCTCACAATACATACTACCTATAGCTGTCATTCCAACACTGCCAATAGATGTTCAAATTCCAATGGAATCATTACTGATGATTCATATAGTTGGATTTGCCACATGAACTGTTGATGACAAGTGTTTGATTACTCAGGTTCAGAGGTGTGTCTGTAATAGCAAGCTTCTCACTTTTGTCATTATAAATACTTTGTTATATGTTGTAAACTCATTGCTTTCGCATCGTCAATTGAACAACTACTAAGCCATACAGTTTCGGGGGGGAGGGGGGGGGGGGAAACCAAGGAATTAGAGAATGCTCAGCTTGTTTTCAATTTATCAACCAGGGTAGTCAGTTAAAAAAATCCAACAAAAACAAAACATATTTTCAGCTGTATCACTTGACTGTTCATGGAAGTGGTGTGAAAGATCATCAGTGATTAACTCTTTCGCTACGGAATTTAATTTACCTTTTTCGTCCCAACTGGACGTAATTAAAAGCTGAAAATTCCGCCGAGCGTCGATGTGGGCGCCGCCATCTTTGAATGTATCTCCGTAAACAAACTGCTCACAATAACAAAAAGCGCACCTCGGCCAGACAGAGAGCCGCTGGCAGCGGCTCAAACTAGGGTCAGAGGTTATACGATATAAATTATGTAGATATGGCCCACGTCATGGGGACACCCTGTTTATTCATAGCGGCGCAACCGAGCCGCTGCCAGCGGCTCTCCGTACGACCTGTACAATTTGTATGTGCCGCCGTCAGCGGCTCGCCGTAGTGAAAGAGTTAAGTTGGCTCCGAATACAGTACATGTATTTGTGAATGAAGGGTGAACTGTTGAAACCCCATGAACAAGTAAATTCCATTCAGAGGTTGGCAAAGAGTGACTTAAGAGGTTGAGATGAGTTTTTGTTCCATTTCAGATAAACTCAGACGATGAGGACGACGAACCTGTGACCAAGAAAGCAAAACCAGCTAAAGTAAGTGTACATTCACTAATATGATGTAGCTTATTGGTAATTCCTAGCATTTTGAAAATGGGTTTTGGATCAAGAATGGTGTGGTGCATGTGAAAATTCCCTTTCGTGGAATACACCTCCGGGAAAATGGACAAGGTTTACATTTTATTTTTCGTCGAAGAAGGAAAAGTGACTGAAGGTGGATTCAAACCTGTGACATGCAGAGCACAGCACCAGTGCCCCCCTAACTGAGATATACCCAGACCTAAATTAGCCCACTCGTAAGTTTGTCTCATAAGCTGAGACGCCACTAAATAGGGACATTGCTACTATAGATCTGGAAAGTCCAGTTGGTGCAGTATTTCAAGGTCAGGGGTTCGAATCCTGTTTCAGTCAACTTTCAGATAGCAAGTCCATGTTGAGTGGCTGTGGCTGTGTGACTTACAGTCAGTGACATTTTTTGCTTTTTCCCTCTAAGCCCAGAAACTGTCTCCGTTTTTGATAAGTAGCTTTGTATTTTTTAAGTCCCTCAGCAGTATTGAGAGCAACACACACATTGCAATGACCCAAAAAGGTGAACACAAAAAGCTGCTGTGTGTTTGTGGCAACATGCCACGTGTGTGTTGCAGGTCCAAAAGCAGTAATGTAAAATGAATTTTGTGTAATCTGTGTAGAAATTGGGGGACAACAAAATTATTCAGAAAGCAGAAATCTGACACGGAACTTAAGACGAAATCCTTATTTCCGAGGTTTCGGATGGAAAGGACTCCTGATGTTAATACACAGCATCACCGACCAAATGATAAAAGCTTGTGTATAAACGTCAGGACATCCTGCCTAGGGCTAGATGGTCCGGCTACCAACCAGTAACCCTTAACAGCCGGACCATTCTCTCCCCACATTTAGACTAAGCGCAACCCCGGCCATCGTTCGCTGGGCTCACCGGTCAAAACCGCCATCGCTTCCCACAGTAGTCATAACCATCTGACAGGCGGCGATCACTTGGTAAGTCATAATGTATTTGTGTAGACATGAGTTTTTTCCACTCTGGTTTTAGTACTTAATTTTTTTGCAATTTGTTGCTGATGTCTTAACCCTAACTCCCTAGCATAATTTACTAGGAACCATACCCATCCTGGCATATTCCAACACCCACATGGGAAATCGTACACACACACTGTTGGATTTGGTTTCTGGAGGTATGCCAAAGCCATTGTAAAAGACCATCAGTTAAGGGGTACTGTACCTATCCTAACAGATTTCAACAAAACCTGCTGTTGGGCTTTGATGGGTTGAGTTCGGTTAGGGTTAATGTTATTTGGTTAATGAATGGGGGTGTTTAGTTGATTTTTTTTGGGGGGGGGGGAGGGGAGAAGTGTGTAAATAGGTATTAGCACATTACACAACGATTGCTCAAGTCTTTAAATGATATTACACCGCCATGTGAAATTAGTTGTTTGTTTCATTTTATCAATTTTCAAAAGAATTTCTCCTTATAACTTTTTCAAAGGTGTTAATAAGTTACATTAAAAAAAATGTTCATCAATGAATTTAGGGATTTAGAAAAATTCTGAAGACATGTACTTTACGTTTTGTTACGTTTTTTTTTATTTCTAATGCCAATATCAGCATGATTTTATCTCTTTCATGGCACAGGAGACAAGAGACAGAAGCCCATCTGGTCTAGACCCCAGCCTTCTTAGGAAGAGGAAAGGCAGTAAGGAGACGGGGGAGCATACCATGGAGGAACTCCTGGATATGAGCCGCAGTGCCATGGAGCAACTGCATCAGAAGCTGGAGCTCCAGCGACAACAGATGGCGCTTTTGTCCGGAGGCGGATTGAGTCAGATGAACAGTGCCTCTTTGCTTGCCAAAGGGGGTCCTGCTGATATTGCAGTGTCGAGTGCTGCACAGCTCCAGGGCTTGACTCAAGCACTTCCTACCAGCTTGTGCTTCCAGGGAAACCCTCTCCTCAATGCCTCCTTGCATCCAGGCCTGATGCCCTTGATGCAGACTCACGGCCTTGATCTGCAGACCCATGCAGGCTTACTCGGCTCCCAGAAGCTCCCCTTTGTCTCGCCGGTGAATGCCAGTGCGGTGAACCATGATCTGACGAAGAGCTTACTCAATCATTTCCCCTTTGCTCCGATAAATCCTTCTAGTGTCGGGCTGCAACCATTTCCACTTGGATCCACCATGGGTATTTCCCAACCTCTAGCCCAACCAAGCATGGCACCAAACACTCATCGGCCATCACCTCCCGTAGACTCTAATCAGGAGGTCCACAACAACTGTTGCAGTGCCTGTCTTAAAAGGATTGATCTCCTTGAACAAAAAGTCAGTAAGATTTCAGAGCTTCTAATAAGTAAGAAACTGGTTCAGGGCTCTGCTGCACTGCCAATGACGAACCCTTTCCCAACGTCAACCTCGGTAGCTTCCCAAAGTGCATCACCGCAGGATACACGTACTTCCCTCAAAATCAACTCTTCCGTTGGAAGTTCCCCTATTCCGTCTTTATCAACAGCACAAGGAGGCCATGAATTTCAGAATGCATCCATGGAGGCTGTCCATGTGGAGACATTGAGCCCATGCCAGTCAACAGCATTGCCAAGGATAGTGTATCCACATCAATTAGCAAGTCCGCCAGTGCCTGTGAAGGTAGCCCTAGCAGCTGAGCACAGGGATCAACGCAAGTCATCAAATCCTCCAATCGCCCCAAAGATTACTCAGGCTTCTGCAAATGCATGTCCACGTCAATCAGGAAATCTGCCAGTACCGGTGAAGATAACCTCAGCAACAGACCACGCATATTCAAGCAAAACGAACGATACGCTATTACTTTCGAAAGGAACCTTTCCAACTGACAATGATAAGTATGCATATCAATCACTCATGCGTTACAGAGGTACCTCAAAACTGTTCATGATTGATAATGAGCTCCATCAGGCCCAGAAGTCAAATCAGGGTAGTGACGACTCAGGAGAAGATCTGCAGCAGCTGGATGCTTTACAGTTTCCACTGGAGATCTACTCAGCGGCTGACTTTGAGAGCCTTCCCCCGAAGATACAGTACATTCTGGACGTTGTTGGGAGAGACACACAGGGTAAAGTGAACAAACTGGTGATAAAGGAAGACATCTTGACATCTCTAGCTCCATATATCAAGGATCGGAATTCAGTATCCCGTCGTCTTGCTGATGTGATGTTCACGGATGACGAACGCTGCTACTGCAACTGCAGCGGCTGGCGAAAGCCAGCAGCCCTGGATCCCATCCGAATGCAGGCGCTGACTGATGCCGTCTTCAAATTGTGCCCCTGCCCGGAGGAGCAGAAGAAGCACCTCTGGCATGAGTGCGTCAAGTCAATCGATGCTGCTTCCAGGCACATTGTCCGCGTGCGTAAGAACAAAGGTAAGATGCCACGGCACGGGAAATGGCTGCCCCTGAGCCATCAAGAGCAAGTGGGAGAAGCCGACTCTGTAGCTGCATTAATGGGGCCCGATCCTAGTGAGGAAGGCATGGACTATGACAATCTCCCAATGTGGCTACAATCTGTGCTGAACATAACCCACAGGAATACCAACGGCAAGGTGTGCAAAGTGGAAATCAAGGAGCCTGTCTTAATCCGCTTTATCTACCTGTCCAACAGCAGACTGAGTGTAGCCTGCCAGCTGGCTGACGTCCTCTTCACGCGGGCAGAGAGGAAGAGAGCCACCTGTCTCGGCCGGCATGGCACAAGACAGCTGGACCCGATCCGAGTGGATGCCCTAAGAGAAGGGAGCTTTAGGATCTGCCCGGCACCTCTCACAGAGCAGAAACAGCTCTGGTCCTATTGCATGAATGCCATAGACACGCTGTCGGTCAATCCTGATATGAATTACCCCACATCATCAGCTACCTTGGTGCACCCCATGATCAAGGAGGAGGATCCCAACAGTGAACTTGATGCCTTTTGCGAGGACGGGAACCAATCAACTGCCGACGACTGAAGCAAAGGCGTGCATTATATTCATCTGGAGGTCTAACACTGTAACATAAGGGACCTTTTTAAATGCATTTGTAGGATAGAATTGTTGATCTTGACCAGACAGAGACAATTTCTTACAGATTTCAGGAAAGTACTGTAAGGTTGAGGTTCTCCCAGCCTTGATAAGAGTTGTCCAAACGCTACAACTCTCTAGCTGCAGTGACATTTACATTGTAGTAACAGACTGTGTGTGTATGATTTTGTGAAGCCCACAACCCACCACCATTGGTGCTCAAGGCACCGCATATCATTATCCTGTAATAAGGCTTGTGAAAACATTCCCCCAAACCATCTCAGCTCCTGGGAGTATAGATCTACTTCTTGTGAAGCCATGTTGATGCAGGTAGCGTAATTTTATTACTCCTGACAAAAGGAAAAATAAAATACCAGTTGTACATGCAGCTGGTACCAGTTATTTTTCTTTTTTTTTATTGTTGAAAATGTTTGGGGGGGGGGGTTGTAGCTGATGTAAAGCCTTGGTGCGGCGTCCTTTAAATTGTTTATCACCTTTCACCTCAATTAGGGAGTGTCTCAAAAGTCGGAATGTTCCTGTTCCGTATGGTACATTCGAAATCCATTATGTAATGTAACATCTGTGACAACAAAAGCATGATTTTTTCATAACATTAGAGTTCCTTTTTGTAAAATGTCATTGGTGTTTTTATAGAGCGAACCTACATGTACATTTGTATATGTACCACAACATAGTTATTTCATTAAGTTCTTGCAAGAAATTTCAAAGACTTTTATCAATGTGTACTGAAAATCGAAAATCTGTGTCGTAAAGCATAAAATCTGTAATGGTCGATTACACCACTCGTATCTCATTAATTAATTCTGCTAATATGTCATGTCGTACATGAAGGCCTCAGCTAGAGTCGTATCAAATATATACAATATTCTTTCACTTGTAAGTATTTTACTTTGTTGTTCTAACTTGGTTTCCGGCTCTAAATGTAACGTCTGTAACGATGGAATTGTCCATATGCTAATGGCCCAATCTTTGAATAAATTTGCAAGCATATTTAAGCAAATTTATTATATTTATAAAAAATAGCCACGTTCTCATAGGTCTGTAGCATTCAGATAGGAGGCCTGAAATAATTTATTGACAAACACGTAAATAGCAAATTGCAATCCCATTTACCCTGAGATATCAGATGTTAAACTAATAAGGAACAGTTTTTACACCTGTTTTGTCAAAAGCACAAATGTGTCATGTAAATTGATATGATTGTACATAAATGTACATTGTAGTTCAATACTGTCTTAGAGCTACCTCAGAAGTTTTACTCTTCATGTGATTCAGAGATTGTGTATATAAACTCCCCTGCTAGGCTACGTGCGGAGCATTTGTCAAATAAAGGTAGAATAGATCGTTTGCAGCTGTCCAAAAAAATACTGATCAAATTAGTGCTGAAAAGCTTACTTGGTTTTATAGAGATAGTAATGGCACTAAACTCCCTGTGAAATGATTCCTTCTGGCATGCTGTCATTTTGAAGAAAACAATAAAATTAAAAGGTCATTTCCAAAAAAAAGTCAATTGACTCATTTTTGGAACGCAACGCACACGAGCGCGCGCACGGTTGCTACATGTATTATTTGTCGGTTCAGTATGTGACATCATGAAGCTGCAATCGGCTGAATGAGAACGTGTTCCAGATGCTGATTTCAGGGGCAATTCAAAATATGACTCGGCATGTCTTAAAATTTTGAACAGTTTTGTTACTTCAAACAAAAAAAATGCACAAATGACAAGTTATCTACTCTAGCTACCTTTAAAGGTACAGGCCATCATTTGAAATTGGTGCATTTTGTTCGTTTGAAGCAACAAACATGCTCAAAAAGAAGGGTGCTGAACAACTCACCTGATGAAGTTTCAGCTCAGCTTTAGCTGTATATTTCGAGAAAAACAACATTTTAGGACTCAATTTCAAATCAAAAGTTGCTGAAGCATGTTTGGCCTGAGTTCAGCGTCCGAAACACATTCTCACTGAGCCGATTGCAGCTACGCCTTTTTGGAAAGAAGGCCTTTCCAACGATGCGTTAGACGCATCGTTGGAAAGGCCTTCTTTCGTTGACTTCTTCAAAATGACAGCATGCGAGAAAGAAAAATTTCACAGGGAGTTTAGTCCCCTTACAATCTTTCAACCAAGTATGTTTTTCAAAAATAATTACGTCAGTTACTTTTTGGATAGCTGCAAATGATGGACTGTAGCTTTAAGTGAATTGTCTGTTCAAAGTTTGTTTGTTGCATACTCTTGGAACATCGGTATTGACATAGGAGATTGGATCAAGTCAACAACATGTACATGCAGTGTTTATTAAAAGGTCAGTCAGATGGCTCTTTTTACTGATCCCTTGACCAACAGTGCTCAAATTATAAAGCAAAATGGTACAAGAAACTAGCCTGTCAAAATTTTCAGCTCAGTATCTAAATTTCGTGCATAATTTCTCATTGCGAAATCCACAGTATTGCACTGTTGGCTGCTGCGCTGCATCAGCCCCAGTACTAAAATGGACAAACCCCTCCACTTTTTTTTGATTTTCCTATGACAAGATTCATATTTGAAGGGCCAGTAACTCTAAAGCGAGGGATCCAGGAGATGGGCCAATAAGCCATTTGCAAGTGACCTTTACCCTTTGGGATTTAAATTTGAAAAACATCCGGTACACTGACTTGCTCAGAATGCTTGGCACATTTTAACTTTGAATTCTCCAGACCAAAGACACTGTTGCTAATCACATAATTTGGGGCAAGCTCTTGCATAGTTACGTAAGAGACGCTCAGCACCAATACATTGTTCACAATGGGTGAGAATGGCACAAAGACACCAGACCATGCCGGAGCTGGGGGTTGCTACATGTAGCATAAGGCTTGCCCCAAATCACGTGATATAGTAACAGTCTCTTTGGTCAGGAGAATGCAAAGTTAAAAGTGCAAAGTATTGGATTAAGTCAGCGTTCCAGATTGTGTTCAAATTTAACTCGCAAATGGCTTATTCTGATAGCAGATGCTGAAAGCCTGCATGGTGCCAGATTACCCAGATCAGTGCAAATCTTTGAGTCATTTCCAGGATACACATATTTGTCTCCAAAAACACTGTGAAGTAACGTTGGCGACTCAAAAAATGTAGGCGTGGCACTCTATTTTGCATGTACCGGTATCTCAGAAACCCTTAGGAGTGCACACCTAAAATAGTGCACAGATTATACACAGAAAGGTACCGCCAGAAATTGTTTTGAGCTAAATCTGAGTGTCAGGCATAGGCATTTACTTTTATTGTAGGTTTTCATATTTGCAAAGCCTGTAAATATTTTTGTCTATAATAAAATGTCAAATGTGCTTCATCATATCTTGAGTATGAACATGCTCCTTAGTATTCATGTGATTGTTTGTTGTTTAGGGTCCTATTCTGAAAACGGATCAAAATATATGGCCAGTTCAGGGGTGGGCCAAAAGTAGCAATTTGGGAATGGGAGGTACTTGTATCAAGAAGTTGGAGCAATTATGTGTGAAACGTTCAAACATTTTCTGAAGAAATTTGATAAATTTCTTTAGGAGGATGATAATCTAATTATCCAGCAGTTATGGAGCACTGTGGCCAGTGGTTACGCTGTTCGGCTCACGTGCCGTGGTACGTGGGTTCGATCCCTGACATGGAACATGGTGCTTGTGTTCTTGGGCAAGACACTTGACTTTACAACAATTGCCCTCTCCACCCAGAAGTATAAATCGGTACCTGTGAAGGTAGAGACTAGAATGCGCGATCTCGAGCTGCTGCAAAAACTGGTCTCATGGCCTGCTGAACAGGGATAATAATTGTGAAGCGCTTTGAGACCTTTGGTACAAAGCACGATATAAGCACCACATTATTATTATTACTTATTATTCACCTATCATTGAAGAGTAAATTCAGATTTTCACACTGAAAGATTCAAAAGGAGGATTAATAATTTATAGTAAAGTAAATAATTCTGAAAAATAGGTGACCTTATTTTGGAGAGACTGAACAAAATGGCAAAATCTGCATAAGACTGCCCTTATTAAACTCACTATAATTTTCTAAAACAAGGAATTCATTTTTCTATTTACAGGTTTGCAAAGTCTGGTGTTGGAGATTGTCTGTTTCTCCTCATCCTAACATGTTATTGTGATATCAACCCATTTTAACCCCCACATACAGGGTCTCGCAGGACTCTTTGCGATGCTCCCGAAACCACGCAACGCCTCCCTCAAGGAAACCAATCGCATCCTCATCCCCCACACGCTGACCAAGAGACCAGCCCCATCAAGCAAAACAACCCACAAGCCGGCTGGCAAAGTGACATCCTCCCAGCCTGCGGCTGCCAAGCCTAAACCCACAGGACTGGCAACAAGTTACGCTAGTGATGAGGAGGATGACAATGACACGGGGGCCACATCGTTCTTCTCTTTTGGGGAAACTCCAAAGCCAGTCTCTGGTCCACCATCTACCACTGTCACAAAATCTGTACCCCATCGGTTCAAAATTAGCCCATCAACTAGTGTCACTGTTGGTCCAGTTGTGAATGAACAGGCTTTTCAGCGAACACCCCCAGTAGCATCATCCAGCAAAGATCCAACCAATCCGGTAGGACCTTCCAAAGTCGACAGTACTGCCCCTCCCAGTTTTGGACAATCAGTGCCGCAAGATGCGCCCCTCACTTTCAAGCCAACGAACCCTCCAATGGGCCAAGATGCCCCCCTAGCATTTTCAAAACCGATGAATTCATCATCACAGTATGGCTACAACACGAGCCAGTATGCTGAGCCTCAGCCGTACCAAACACCTTATGGCTATGACTACACTGAATACAATCAGTCGTATCAGGAACAAGACCCATCGGTTTATGGAGAGGTAGAAGGTGGAGACAGTGAAGGGACACAGGGGGCTGGAGGGAGCACTGATTTGGCAGCAGACAAAGAGGTAATGTTTAAACATCTCCGTGCAGGTCTGTGTGCAGCTCATACATGGGCAATCAATGTTCATTTGTATTGCATGTTTACAACTTACATGTACCTCATATTTAAGAATGAGTGAACATGAGCATAGTACCATATTAGTAAGGTGCTTGGATTGTGCTTGCCAGATTAGTTCAATTTTTGTGACTTGCTCCCACAATGACAGTCAGGGGGCAGGTCTCATTGGCTATTTTATCTCTTCATCTGCTACTCTCTCTTTAGCCTTACTTTTTGCAACTCATCTCTCATTGTCAGCAGTGAGAATGGAGCACACTTTTAAAAAATGTTAACAAGTTCTTCCCAGGACCACACAAACTGTTAGAAAGATACAAGTATGTTTAAAACCGTCTAGAGGCCTGGTGAAAGTTAAAGAAACTTGAGGCAAAAATATGTGTAGCTTAAAGGGAATGTACATCATTGGCTTTTGTTGTAATTTTCGGAAATGAACTATTCAAGGGGTTAGTATAATAGATCAAATATTGTTACACTGACATTTGTGAAGTTTTGTGTTCGAAAAGGTTGGAAAAACCAAGAAAAACAAAATGTTCAAGTAGTCTGGTTCCCTGACTCCACAAAAGATAAAATGGATCAATTTATAGATGATGGAAAATTGTAAGGCAAGGGAACCAGTCTAGCTGGCCTGCACCCGTTCATGAACATGTAACCAATAGCAAACAAAATTTGGACTAAAAAATGGTGAATTTGGAGCAGTAGTTGAAAAATAGTTAGGTTTTTCCAACGCTGGTCGGCCGACCACCGTTGGAAATGTATACAAAAATATCATTTTTTGAAAATGACTTCACACCAGGTGCCATAATTTTACAAGATGCTTGAGACTGTCATTTACCAACATCCTAGTAAGGTATTTCGTAAAAACTTGGTAGTTTCATTTTTCGATGTTTGCAAATGTTGTATATTCCCTTTAATGTTATTTGCTGTACTTTAATTGTTGTTGATATACATGTAGTTTCAGAGATTGATGGGAAAGCGCAATGTAGGCCGTGAGTCCATCAACATAACGGACATTGCAGCAGACGAAGTGATAGGCCCGACCAATCACCTGGACTGGTTAAAGAAGAATCTGACGGAGGAAAAGGAATACCGGGCCAAATTGGTGAGAAAAATACTTCCTCATCTTCAAATTTTTTTATAAAATGAATTTCAAGAATTCTTTATGCTAGGAGGACAGGAAAATCAAATCAGCAGAAACAAATTCATCCAAACTGAAGTCAAGAATGGTTGAACGAAAGTTGGTGGTAAGACTCAACTCTGTGATTCTCAACAAACCTCAATTGTGATTCTCAACAAACCTGAATTGTCACATGAGCAGCTGTAGAAATGTCAAGAAAACCCAGAAATAAAACCAGTGCAGATTATTATAAGGGTATTAACTCTTTCGCTACGGCGAGCCGCTGACAGCGGCCCATACAAATTGTACAGGTCGTACAGAGAGCCGCTGGCAGCGGCTCGGTTGCGTCGCTATGAATAAACAGGATGTCCCCATGACGTGGGCCATATCTACATAATTTATATCGTATAACCTCTGACCCTAGTTTGAGCCGCTGCCAGCGGCTCTACGTCTGGCCGGGGTGCGCTTTTTGTTATTGTGAGCAGTTTGTTTACGGAGATACATTCAAAGATGGCGGCGCCCACATCGACGCTCGGCGGAATTTTCAGCTTTTAATTACGTCCAGTTGGGACGAAAAAGGTAAATTTAATTCCGTAGCAAAAGAGTTAAACATTAAACTCATTCACATCGTGGTATGACTTTACAGAGTGCAAGTAGTGAGAAACAGAAAAATCTAAATGGTTGCAATATTTTAAAATGCAGAGGCATGGATGATTTCACAGTGCACACTACGCAAAACTGACTTTCATTAGGATAAGCCCTGTAATGTATTTAGCCTTTGATGTCTTCTTGTTCGTGAACAAGAAGACATCGAAGGCTAAATTGTTTGGGTGGCATGGATGGCGCAGAAGCGCTTGCCTCTCATCGTTGTGGCCTGAGTTGGATTCCCAGCCCGGGTCATATTTGAGTAGAGTTGTTCGTTGATTCTCTCCTGTGCGGTGAGGCTTTTTCTTCAGATCCACACGCAAAAATCAACACTTTCGATCTGGCTGTGCTCCGTGGTAAGACATGGGTCATATGGCAGCTGCCTAAGGCACTGTAGCTGCGTCCTTCGAAATTCAGCTTCCGCTGTAAGGATTATAAACCCCAAGTTTATTTTAATTAACTTATTTTTATACAGAGAAAAGAACAACTGCCATCAGGTCAGCAGAGACGGAAACATCAGATCACATACTTGGCTCATCAGGTAGGTGAAATTTGAACTACCCTATACCTAATCCAACAAAAGTGCAACAAAATCCAGTTGGAAAACATAAGAATCCATCAGAACCCAACAGAGCTAAACCATCCTCCATTAAAAACAACATTTTATACGCCCAAGGCATATATTTCCGGCTATGAAAAAAAAAAACGTTGTAAAGATTGCCTTGGGGGAAAAAATTGTCATCAGAATAAACCACTGCATACATTCTGGGGATGCTTGCCATGTTGTCCACACAAATCTCATTTCACCCTTTTTATTTCAGCTGGGAATAATGATTTGGTGTCATTTGGTCTTAAATTATGGAATGAGATCCCACAGCATATTCATTGTCTCTACCGCTGGAAACATTTAAGAAGACTCTGAAATTTGTTTTGTTTGTCATTTAATTTTGTAAAGCACTGTGAAACCCGGTCATGTGTATAAGAGCTCTGTGTGCGCTCTGCGTTCAAGTACCCCCTCAAGGGTAAGAAAGGAAGAGTTTGGGGAGAACACTGTAAGAGATATTCGAACGCATTGCTGACGACGCCCGATGCTCACTTAAAGATGCTATGGCCTGGTGTACATTGAAATTAAAAATAGTCGTGTGTACTTCACGGCTCGCGCCATACGAACGCAAGCCAGCGCGTGCATGTGGTGTGTCCCGTACGCTGGTCAAAAACCGCCCTCTCTTGTTCGCGCATGAAGCCCATAAATGACTATTGTGTTTGTTTTTCAAGGCCAAGGAGCGGGAGTTAGAGCTGAAGAATCAGTGGGCAAACAATCGACAGACAAGGAAGGACACACAGATGAAGTACGGCTTCTGAAGAAGTGGCTGCTTGGTTGAACTGAGGATGCCTGTACATCGTAGCTTGACTCTGACCATGTTGACACTGCCAAGTCTCTGAAGTGTTGTGTAGAATTAGTCACTGTCACAACAGTAATCCTTCAGAAACATGGAGAGCCATTTGCTGCTTCAAGCTTAAAAGAGGGATGGGACGTATAGACCATGTGCCCTGTGACGTCATGCCAACGAGCAACTTCCAGGCAACCCAAACATTTAAGCATCTTTTGCATGTCATTTGACCCGCATTAAAGAGTATAGGTCTCGTTCAAATGACGTCATTTCCTACAGGCCAGCCACGTGCATTGGTATTTTGAGCGTCAACTTGCATAACGCGCATCCACTTTATCGTATTTCGGACACATTTCGAGCAACAAGCGCGCGTGTTTGGAACATTTTCAGTACTGTGCCGTGCATGCTTGATTGCGTAAAATACGCAGTTGCAGTTCTCCTACAGAGATGGCCGTCATTGAGCGAGCCCTATGTGTCAACACTTTTAAACCATTCATATTTCAAGAGATACACATGCAGTGCAGAAGAGATCCGTTGGCTGAAAGTTGGCTTCATGTGACCACAACATCCAATTTTGTAAACAAATGTCACATGGTCTAGAAACTCCTGAAAGTTCAAATCCAATGTTGTTCAAATTACATTTTCTACTAAACCCAGTTCCTTAGACATTTTTAGATTGGAAAGTTTTGTACCTGCCCAAATTACCCGTATTAAACTGTTAAAGTTGCGTTCCCCGTACTATTTCGAATTTCATCCCCAAAAAGTTTCCTTTTCTAAATTGCTATTTTTCTAGCAATACACGATTTATGCAATTTCATATTATTGGCTGCCAGACAATAGTTCCATTCTCGCTGGGTAGGCTGGTTCCCGCCCCACAATCAGAATTGATAATGTATGGACCGGAGCCAGTCTGCTCGCAAAGCAGATCTGTTTGTGCCCAAAACAAAACCTTTTTTTCAGAGGGCTGCAGACGTTAAAAAAATGTGACCGAAAAAGAAGATTTTTGGGTCGGGGGAAAGCATACAAATTTGTTGAAGAGTATGGCAAATGCAACTTTAACAAAATGTTAAGGTGTTTGTACACAAATCTGGAACATCAAGCCCCATAAATGTGATACGGGCTCTGTTCTATCTACAGCCCTAAATCCATCAAAATGCTGTGAATATGGGTAATAGTTTCAAGGATTCGGGCGTAGTTGGGGATTAATTGTTTACTTGTTGGGGGAAGGTGGAGCAGTGATTCCTGTTAGTGGTGTGCTAATTAAAATTTTAAAATGTGTTTAAAAGCCTGCGAAAAGGGTGCATGCTAGACTCAGTAACTAGGGCACTAGATCCTTTTTATCAAAATTGTGACTTTTGTTGGAAACTGGGTCGTCTGACCAAAGTTAAAATTGGAAGAAGAAAAAAGGAGTTCTAGTGCCCCAGGTACTGGGTCTAGCTGGGTGCATGCATAACATGCAGTTGCCTATGTACTTTGAACTGAAAACTCATCAAAGTGATCTGTATTTTGTGAACCCAAAACTTGCATGCCCCTGCCCCATAGCCCGAGTTCTAAGATGGGAAACCTTTATATATATATATTATTGTTAGGATGAAAAGTGAGACATTTATTTTAAGCCCCCATGCGAAATGGGTTTTAGATTTGTCAGAATTGGGAGTGTTTTGGGTGTGTGATCTTTGTCAGACAGTGACTAATTTCCTCTTACTATTACAGCCATTTATCTGTAGTATTTTCTAGATGAAATCTCTTTTTTGGGGGAGTTTTTTTGAAATGGTATCTTGAGTTGCTACATGCTGTGAATTCTGTGAGCCCATTGTAAATTTTAGAATATAAAGCAATTTTATTCAAAATGCTGAATAATCTCGGAATTTTCTTTTATAAACAAAAAGGGAATAAAAAGAACAAGTCCCACATGTGTTGCTTGTGAAATTAAACTTAAAAATTAGTCTTTGGGTAGAAAATTTTAAGAAACCTAAATAAATATGCCATATAGTCCCCTCTTGAAATTAGTTGAGACTTCTTTTAAACTTATAATCATTACTCATTCAAGGGCGGATCCAGAACACAATTTTGGGGGGGGCCAAAAAAATTTTGGTCCCCCCAAAAAAGTGGGTCTAAAAAATTACGGCGTGGGGTTCTAGATGGGTTCTGGATTCTAGATGCTCTGTGGTGCGATCTGAGGCAATTTCTGACCACTTTAACCAATTTTTTTTGAGGAAAAGATGGTGGTGTACTCATTGCCTGCCTTTATTGCGATGTCACATTAAAAAAAAAAATTGGTTTCGTTTTTGGGGGGGGGGGGGGGGCCATGGCCCCCTTTGGCCCCCCCTGGATCCGCCCTTGTACTCATTGCACATACTGTACATCATTACTACTCAAACTGATTCGTACAGTTTGCAAATTGATTTTCTTTGAATAGACTTCTGGTTGTAACAAGATATTTTTACAAATACTTTAAAAACCTTTTTTTTCTCTTTGGCTTTAACAAGAACCTCTACTCTATAGCTACTTCTAATTCTAATGAAGTAAGAAATCATGTGAAATATCACCTTCATGGTTCCAATATAAGTTTAAAATAAAAACATGAATTTTATAACATAGCTTTAAAAAAGAGGTAAGCAAATAAACATATAAAATCACTTGTAACACAACCAGTGTGCTCAATATACTGAAGTATTCCAAAATAGCAAGAAATTTTAATTTGTAAGTGCAGGGACAGGGTAACACCAGACTACTATCCCAGCCCAAGTAGTTGGGAAATTTCACAATGTGTCCAAAGCTCCACATAATTTTATGTGTAAATTGTAATTGTGAAGAGTCCTTCGCCTAGAACTAGAATACATTATTCAAAGTGGTCGGAAGCCCTCTGGTTTTGTTGGAGAAATGTTAAAGCTATTCTATCACTGTATTTAATTGTTTTTGTATCCAAGAGCTTGTAAACTAGGGATCAAAACTTAGACCTGAATTAGTCCTTTCTGATTCCAAATTATGAGGACAAGTTTTCAAATCATCGCTTCGTGAAAGTGAACTTTGCACAATTTTGTTCACAGGGTTTGATGTAAGATTGCGTGATAGACAAAAAACTGGAAGAGGCCTGTGGACCAGCAGCCATCAGTATCATGGATTTGCTACAAATGTACTTTTGGGCATTGAAATTTTGGAGTCGTTTTTCGTCCGAGCTGTTGTAATGTTAATATTCCACTTCCATGGTAATCCCATCCTCATTGACTTCATCTTCAAACCTCCTGACGTGCATTTCCTGCACAAGGTCCTCAACATCTTCAACAATTTTCCCTGTCCTTCTGTTCATCTTCTTCAGTTTGAAACCTGTCCTTGTCCCTCCGCACGTTGGGTCAACGTTCCTAAGCCGCGGCGAGAACGAGCCATCTCCTTCGACGGAAACCTTCAAATCGCCAGTTGGTTGGACGTGGGTGTTGTACTGATTCCCGCTGATCGTCAACCGCCCGCCTTGTACGAGTTTCGCCTCTAGGCTGGTCGGGTCGATGTTTCTAGGGATCTCGAAACCACGCTTGAACTCCTTTTCCGTGCACTGCTCATGACAGTCGCAGACGTGTTTCCCTTCCACCACTAGCCTGTTGCCCGAGGTAGTGACAGACAGATCCTCGGGTGTGTAACCTGGGAGGTCCAGAGAAGCCACCTCGATCTTCCTGAAGTGCTGATGCTGGTTTTGATGGGAGCTCCCGTGACGATTTCTTATGTTGTCTTTCGTTCCCTGAAAATAAACAAGACATGAGTTACTCATTGTTTGAATCTAGCTTGAGCTGACAACCACAGATTGTGCAATTTTATGTTGCACTGACAAAAAAGCCTTTGGTGGAGTAGCAGTCAAGCAGTGTTGTGCCTGTTTTTTTTAATTAGGTAAGAAATAACTAATCTTGTCACGAAAAATTTTGAGTCATTCTTGTCCACTTATGTCACATACGATTGATACTTGTTTGTCAAGTCTTATTTATCTGAATTCAAAAGACAAATGGATCAATTTGAGTTGAGATAGTGCAGGGGTATATCTCCGGTTCAGAAAAAGGTGGGCAATTGAATTTTCATTTTTAAGCACTAAGTAATTTTTCCTAGTTTCAGATCTATTTTTATATTTTTCTACAAGAGAATAATATTACTTCTTTACACATGAAGTACAACATGAACAACAGCAAAATACACTCAAGTTTCAGAGAGTTCTGGAGACATTTCTCCAGGAGAAATTGCACTAGGAGAAATATCATGGCAGTGAGACTTGCAATATCTTTGTAAGGGCCAGAGGCAATCGGACAATTTTCACAGGCATTCACAGAGGCAGTCAAATGTAGTCACATGCAATCACAAGTGAAAGGAACCCTTGCGAGCTAAAGTACATTTTTCTTATAGTATAGAAACATGCTCAGAAATCAAGAACTTGTTGCCTTGTTTTCTTCTCGGAGATTGCCTGGAAGCAATTGCCTGTACAGTGCCCCATATGTCAAGTCCTAAGGTTAGGATTGCCAATGCTTTTTTTTGCAGGGCTATCACCTACCTGGCTTGGATGATTCCAGCCTGTTTCCCTTCGTTTCCTCTCATCGGCCACCTTTTGCTCTTGCATCCTTCTCCGTTTCATTGCCTGTTCCTCCTGGATGCGCCTCTCCGCTGCCTCCCGCTCCTGTTTCTCCCTCAACTCTTTCTTAATTCTCAGCTCTTCCTCCTCCCAGAGCTGTCTCTGCCTCCTGGCCTCCTCCTCCTGCTGTCGTTTTTGCTGCCTCCATCTCTCCTCTTCTAATCTCCTCTCCTCCTGGCGTTGCTTGAGCTCTTCCTCCTCCAGCATCCTCTGCCTCGCCTCCTGATGATGTCTCTGCTCTTCCATCTGCTGTTGCTGCTCTTCCCTCCACTTTTGTTGTCTCTCCTTCTTGATGTCATCTTGTGTTTTCTGTGCATGCCATTGATCGTCAGATTCTTGTCCTTGGCAACCTGGATCGACCTTTTGTTGACGTGGGCCTTCATTCTGCTGTAAATTTAGATAAAAAAAGTATGGATAATTTAAAAATTATAAGTTCCTTAAATTAACCTGAAACAGTGTAATTTGAACTAAAATATGCAAGTTCATTCTGGCTTGAGTAAAAAAGGAAGAAATACGCAAGGCTGTTACATCACAATCACCATGAAACGTCTAAACTTTCAAACTATGGAAACTGTTTTGTCATGACCATGTTAATAACAAAAATCTAGCAGGGGTGTGAGCGACCACTTATAAAAATAGCTGAAAATAGCTGAAAAAAGGTGTAAAGAAGTGAACTTTGGAAATCTCCTATACTTTTGTACACAGCAAGTGAGGGAAAAAGCTGAAAAAAAGCTGAAATCCAAAACAAAAAAAGCTGAAATCAGCTTTAAAGCTGAGATTTCACACCCCTGATCTAGATAGCCCCCACTGTGACTTTAAAAATGAAAAAAGACAGATTTTTATTGCCTTATTGTTTGGATTCCCCTGATTTTCTTCATTCCTTATCCCTCAAATCCTCAGAGATTCTCAGACTTACTATGCCTTTCTTGTTCATCTTGGCAGCATTGTCTTGGCATCTCTGACAGCCAATCTTTGGAGTCCTGTCAGCCGAAAGGGATCTAGGGCCCAGAATTGACAGTCCAGCTCCAAAGGGTTGATGGGAAATACCCAATGGAATGGGAAGGAAGTGGTGACCCCAGCCAAAGGGGTCATGCCAAGGGTCGTGATGGTCAACCCAAGGTTCTCGGAAGAAAGAGTTCATCAGTTGTGCTGATGATGGAGAGCGGACACTGCAGATTGGTCGGTTGCTGGCTGGTTGATTGCAACTTGAACTGTGTGAATTAATAAACAATGATTTAATCTATCCTGCTTTGTATTCAAATTCAATTTCAATGCTCAATATAGCCTGTCCATTTGATTACTTAACCTTAACTCGCTCAGGTGAGTGAACAATCATGAACATCAGAGGATTCGGGACTGTTTAATAACAATAGGTTAATTGCAGCTCTCTTTCACAGAAAACAAGTGTGGGAAAATAAGCAAATATTATAAGATTGGAAAATGAAACCTCGCTCGTGATAAATCGTTAAACTAGCTAATGAAGTCAAGTCCCAGTTTGTGTGTTATATCTACAACATCGAACATGCAGAAAACTGGCTAAGACTTTCAGTGAAACAACTTTATGAACAACTTTATACCAATAAAACACCTTTCATTTTTTTTTTTTACAACTTAATATACACTTGACTCACCCAGACTGATGAAGCGGAATCCTGCCGTCTGTGCCCGCGGCAGCAAGCAGGAGCGCCACGGCGCATATCTTGGGTAGCCTCAGAGACGACATCATTGCTGTCTTGATGATCGTGCGGGAAATGTTTGACAACTTGAAATTAAGATGACAAACGCGGTCCGTCTGATAATTAGTCGAGCGTAAATGACACAGTAACTGATGCTCAAACTCGCTAGATGGCGATTAAAAACCACTCAGGTGAACGGCGGGCGACTTTATCGTGATGTGTCTGTTCACTGTATAGGCTGAAGAAAATGTAATTTTTTTAGAGGAACAGTTTAAATTTATGCCAAAAGCTCGCCAAAGTACACGTTTATTTGGTGTAAACAACCAATACATTCTTGACACGTGGAATAAAAACTAATCTGACGTGGTTTTACACGTGTTAGGAGACATTCTCATTCCCTCGAAAAGTTGCATCAGCCCGCTTTGCGATCGACCGCTAGCGCGCCGCCGCGATGTTTACAGATTTTTCCAGGAGAATCTGTTTACATGCTGTACTAAAAATAGAATGACGTATTATCGGGAAAGCCCTCGACAAACGACTGTTAGATGTTTGTTTTATAATACTGCCTGCTGATATGCCAAAACTCAAACAGCCGTACATTTTTCAGCTTTACCTTTGTCTAGCTCCCAGTGTGCTGCTGCGATTAAAAGAGAGCAGTGGACAGAGGAACAGACTAAGTTGAAATACGTACAAACCAACGCAATCACCTTGCGTGGTTACGTATGCGAAGAAACAGATGTGTTCACAGAATCACACAAAGAATGGATTTTAACGACATTTTTCGTTCCTTTTTCGGGACATATGGTCCCAGAGGATCCATGGAGGAGTAAGAGTTTTTAATTTTGTTTTAAAAAGTATTTGAATGTTGGCTTATATTTTGTGCTAAGTCAGTCATGTCAGTGGGTAAAAACTTGATGAAATTTTCACTGACACTGCCGCTTGCGTAGCCCCACTAGTAGTGTGGCCGTCGGTATGCTGCGCTGAACCCAAGCGCAGCATACCGACGGCCACACTAGTGGGGCTAACTCCAACGCTGGTCGGCCGACCAGCGTTGGAAAAATACAACTTTTCTTGAAAATGTCAGCAGATCAGGACTCGGCTACGATTTTACAGGACGATTCAGACTGTAATTCCCTAACAATCCAGTAAGGAAGGTATTTCGTGATAATTTGATCAATTCCTTTTTTGATGTTTGCAAATGTTGTATCTTCCCTTTAATATTTTTTTCTGCAATCCCTATTTCTTTTGCATTTCTTTGTTCTCAACCATGCAGTACTCTGCGTTCATGTAATAACAGTGACTGTGACAGGCACCCTGTTATCTCCGTAGCCCGTTATCGAAGGCTTGCGATTCCGACGGTGTAGCCAGATGATTTGATTTTTAGGGGTGTATTTCTTATTATCTGCAAATTACTCTGAAGAAAAAAAAAACAGCGCAATTTCCAGACAATTTGTTCCACTAAAAATTCAGTTAACAAATATAAGGCAAAAAAAAAATGTTAAGCATCCCCGCCTGCTTCCTTTTTAAAGGCTGCCTCGTTTTTTTTTTTTTTAAAGAATTTTTTTTTTTTTTTTTGGCCTCTTTGTCTGTTGCATATGTGGTCCATGTAAAGCTGGTATGCCATTTAAACAAAAAACTAACGGCCATCTTGAAAAATAGCCTGGTCGGGCGGCCATTTTTGAGGAAAAAGGGCCGCCCGCTTCCTTTTTTTTCTTCAAAAAGGCAGGATGCTCAACATATTTTTATTTTTATTTGGCCTAACAGACAGGTATGCTTCCAGCAGCATGTATCCAGGAGCAGTACTGAAGTAAAGAAGATGAAAAATTCCCCTGTGTGATATGTTCTTGCTGCACACCAAACTTTCAGAACAAATTCTGCAACACTTAAAGATAAAAATTACCAATTTTGTTTGTGGATATTTCAGTGATTCAGACGACCATGACGTCTTCAACACACCTGGAGGCTTTGGGTTCTTTGGTAACCACTTTGGTCAGGGTGAACAAGAAGACATGGAGGATGACTCGACCTTTGACCCAGGTCAAAGGGGAGGGTTCCACCCACCTTCCAGCGGCGACTTTTTCTTCAAATTTGAAGAGGAGAGTCAGGACATGTTTCGTCATTTTGAGGAGATGTTCAAAAACTTTGGTCTGAGCACTTTTCCACCATCAGGTAATTTTATAGTTGGTGTGCCATGTACTATAGTCTATGGGGAAGACGTTGCATGGTTTGATCCGCAATAACTTGATGTCGCGAGAGGGCAATATCACGACCAACCAATATCTATTTATTTATTTATTTATTATTTTAACTGGGTAGCCCGTTCAGTGGAATCCACTGATCTCCCATGGGGCCCAGTAAAGAGAAGACAATGTGAAGAAATTACAGTTTTAGAGGTAGGAGGAAAAGCCCAGGAGAGTATTCTGAGGAAAACCCACGGAATCAGGCAGGGACTGAAAACCCAATCCACATATTGACCCAGGCGGGATTCGAACCCGGGTCACAGCGGTGGAAGGCGAGGAAAGTACCGCTACGCCAACCTGACTCCCCCAACAGGAGATGTCCTAGCAACGTCTAGGACATCACCTGTTGGTTGTTTAATGCGCGCGCACCTGTTTGGCCTAATATATGCAGCGCGCAATTCAAACAAATTCATAGTAGTTCTGAAGCAAACTCTCAAATTTCTTAGAGTACAATAATAGATGCAGCAAGACCTTTGCGCAACTTCACTGGTCAGCTTTTTTGTATGTGGGACTGAAAATGGACCGTAATTGCCTGCAGAAGTCGCGCATTCACACTAGTTTCCCCCATTTTTCGGGGGGGGGGGGGGAGGGGAGAGAGATTTCAGGAGATACCCTAGACGTTGCTACTGGCAAGTCCTTGGGCAAATGGGCGATTTTGGTTGGTCGTGATAGTGCCCTCTCGCGACAGCGGGTTATCGCGGCGACAGGTTACCGCATATCAAACCATGCAAGGTCTAGCCCCTAGACTACATGTACTCATGTACTTGTAATCTGTATTCAAAATACATTGTAGTCTTCGTTGGACGCTTAACAAAAGAGGGTCTCTGAGATATTGGTCTAATGACATTTGAACCAGTGATACTAGGGTCAGAGTGCAATAATCAATATTAATTAACTAACCCACCTCAATGCTCCAAAATCATCCTGGCAGTTTTGGAGGATTTTGGAGGATGAATGAATGGTGTTTGAGAAGTAGGAGGATTTTAGAGGATTGAGGATGAATCTATTAATGGTGTTGAAGTACATGAGTATTTTGGAAGATTGCGGATGAATGGTGTTTGAAGAGGAGGAGGATTTTGGAGGATTGAGGATGGTTTCTAGCAAAAAAGGCCTAGGGGTTAGGGTTCGTTAGCCGGTCTTAAAAGTTCTGGCTGTCAGTCAGTCTTATAAGTTGGACCATTGCAATGACACAGTCTGAGTGTTAAGACAGTCTTATAATAGTTAGCCTGGGTTGGGCTGGCTTAAAACGGTCTACAGTTGGAATTTTCTTTTATTCGTCTGTGTGTTGAAATATTTCTTCCTCAGAATGTCTTTTCAGTTAATAAGTGCTTGATCATTTTGAACAGCAGAATACTGCCTGGAGAGAGGATTTTCCAAGATAGAAGGAATTTCTAGAGAAATTTAAGGACACTGAGTTGTACTGCAGTTACAGTTTTCTGAACATAACTTTCCATAATTGACAGATTTGACAACTGGAGGATATCTAAATTATTTTGAGAATCAGTTTTACAACTTCAAGTAAGTTGATGGCCTGTGTTTCCATTACTGAACTCAGTACCCTTGATCATGCTGATACCTGGAAAGTTCTTGTTTTGTAGAATCCAAATGAACAAATTATCTGAATTCTAACAAAGTCTGACTTTGAGCTCTTTTTTATGATGACAGGTCACACATGTTATCTGAGTGAATTGTTTAGTTATAAATGATATGTACAGCTGTAAAGAGTTGGCACATTCATCTTGTATTCATTTTTTAAGTTCCCAATTATTGGATGTTTATCATCTGTAATTTGAAAGCTTTAAAAAGAAAACCAAATCCAACAGAGGTCCTGATATTGCTCCAATTTTCCATTCAAATTACATGCACATACTTATGCCAAAACAGCAAAGAAAACTAGGCTAATGTATTCACTCATATAACCAGATGTCACAAACCATACTTTCTCTACAAAGTATGCTTACAAGTGTACATCTCAAAGGAACTGATTTTTCTCTGTGAATTTCGTTGTAAATTTCAGCATTTTCAAGAATAGATGAGGAGGCATCTCCGGCGCTACCCTCGTCTCGGCACCGGACTCCACGAGATGAAATGCTGAAGCATCCAGACAGTGGCCATCCCTCGGCATTGACTGCGATCAAACCAGACCATCTGGAAGGCGAGGAGGACAATCCCGAGGACGGAGCACAGTCATGGGTAAGATGTGGTGGTCATTGTAGCTGCACAGTCAATCACAAGTCAATCATAACTCAATCACAAGTCAATCACAAGTCAATCACAAGTCAATCACAAGTCAATCACAAGTCAATCACAAGTCAATCACAATTAAATCAAAAGTCAATCGCAAGTCCATCACAAGGCAATCACAATTCAACCACAAGTCAATACACAAGGCAATCACAAGTCGATCACAAGGCAATCACACTGCAATGACAAGGCAATCACAAGCCAATCCCAAGGCAATCCCAAGGCGATCACAAGTCAATCACAAGGCAATCACAAGGCAATCACAAGGCAATCGCATGGCAATCGCATGGCAATCACAAGTCGATCACAAGTCAAACACAATTCAATCACAAGGCAATCACTAGTCAATCACAAGTCAATCACAAGTCAATTACAAGTCAGCCACAACTCAACCACAAGTCAACCACAAGCCGATCCCGACTCAATCACAAGACAATCACAATACACTCACAAGACAATCACAAGTCAACCACAAATCAACCAAAAGTTGATAGGATTGATTCACCTTACAATGCGCAAGCAAGGGGTTAACCACAGAGAGGCCATATATTAGAGGGTATCATGGTAGAAAGTCAAAAAGACGTAGCACTTTCAACTTTTTTCTCAAGCATGTTTCAGTTTTTGAATACTGCCGAGTTCATAAATTCAGATGCATAAGTTTGTGTTCTTGTAGTACTACACGTAAACAGTAAGGGTAGGTTAAAGATGAACCACCCATGCTATTTTTTGAGTTTCAACCCCAAAATAACCTGCAAGCCAAATAATCAATCGGGTCACAAACAGGGGATTAGCAATGACAAAGAAAAGCACTTGTCAAAATTCTTTTAAATAGTTTGCCACTTGACTTGATGGTGACTTGAGTTGATGGATGATTTGTGATGACTTGTTTGCAACGCTAATTGGATGTTAACGCCGGGGGCTTTGCATGGTCAAGGTCAAAAACTAGTCCTCTTTCACTTTTGTTAAAAGAATTAAGAATATAATTTGCCAGTTATAAACTTGATGCTGATTATGAAGGATCCAGATCAGACTTGGACCATTTGTGCCGAAAAACATGCAGTTCTGTACAAGTTTATTCACTCCTATTTGCCAACAAACTGTTCCCAAAGGTCCCTAAGACAAAGGCTACTTTTCCTCTCATATCTCTCGCTCTTTTTGTCAGGGCTGGGGGGGGGGGGGTATTTGTACATGCACAAGTCCATTACTAATTGGACCTGTCTTGTATTTCCTTTTCTCCTTCAGCATTCTCTATGGAACAACAAACCAAAGTGGCATTGGCCCGTGCCTACCCTACCATCTACGCCATCATGCAAGAAAGACAGAGGTAGGCATAGTGTGCACTTTGATCTATTTTCTTAATTAGTGTGGCCTGTTCATCATTATCCCTCACGAACAGGTGGAACACTATACAGTTTTTGTCTGCTGCTTTGTGGTCCAGGGTATTTTTGTACACATGAGGGGGCTACTCACCCCTATGGCAACCTAAATCGCCCTCCGTTATTTCCTTTTAATCTGGGCCAGGAGTCTGTTCAAGATCTTTTTCCTAGTGATCTTTACCTGCCACCTTTGACCTTTCAGATCTGGATGATGAAGTGAAAGGAAGGAAACTGGACGAGATTCTTAAAGAGGCCAACCCGCCTGATCACCCTGCTCAGTCACCCTCATCCAGGTCATACTTCAGGAGTATCTCGATCCAGACCATCAGGAAGCAAGACGGGGTTAGTCATTACGAGATCAAACAGGATTCGAACCTGTGATCTCTTGTATGCTCGGTGCTCCACTAACTTTGCCATATTCGCAGTATCCTACTTTGATGGTGTCTTTAAATGGTAGAAGGGAGACCACCAACGTTTTGCTCGAAAGCAAATCATGAATATTTTGATTTTTGTGGCAGGGAGATATACATTTTAATACCAAATTTTGCTTGCCAATGACTTTATTTTTATAAACACTATAAACACAGCTTGTTGCTGTTCCAGAGATTGTGAGACAAAATATTGTGAGACAAAAAGATTGTGAGACCATTAAAACAACAAAAACGTTAGATATTTTTCTCAAAAGTTCTCAGGCTGGACTTAGCATTCAATATTAATAAAAATATGTTTGTGAAGGTCAAAATGTGCTATTAACTTTAGCTGCCCTGAATCCTTCAAAATCTTCTTTGCCAAAGTGGAGGAATTTGCAGGATTGCGGTTACATGGCAAAAGTGCGTTACTAATTTCGTAGGATGCACTTTATCAAGGTCGTGGGTCGGACCTTGTGTTGTTTTTGCTCAGCCATGCAATAAAACAGGCCTGGATTATGCTTGAAATCCTCCGTACTGCTCCAGGATGTCACTGGCCAAGCCTCAACATATTGACAGGATTTTGCAGGATTCAGTCACCCCTCCATGGACCATATTCAAGAAATAATGGAGGAATTTGCAGGATTGAGGCTATATGCTATTTTCCCATGAGGCCAATTGGAAGATTTTGCATGATTGAGGCTACATCCTAGCAAAAAGGCCTGGGGAGTTGGGGTTTTAAAGCTAATCATGAGCTGGGTGGAAGGCTGGTCGAGAATTTTGAATCTATGGTATCTGACTCGTTCTAGCATGACACATTCCATCTGCTGTCCTAATTTTAGCTCACTGTTCTTTCAGATAATCAGATTTCCTTTGAGGCTTGAAGTCATGTTGCACTTTGACTCAAAAACAGGCTCATATTTTTTATTGAATACAGATTTTTCCCTATTGGCCCATAAGGCCGAAGGGAACATGCTATCTACACCACAAAGTCTTGACATTAATTTCTACTGACATACATGTAGGTTCCTGGACACAAAGTTGTTTTTCAAATGTTTAAGGTCACATTTAATTTAGCAACAGAACACAATTTAGTTGTAATTCCCTTGTTTATTAAGACAGATCCATATTTGCTTTATAAAACATGTCAGTGGTTGTGACATACTCCCTCTGCTGGAAATCCACTACATGTAGATGGAGTCTCTGCTGGAAATCCACTACATGTAGATGGAGTTTTCACAGTAGCTAACAGATGCAGATGCTGACTCACCATAGCCTGAATGACTTTACCTTGAGTCTTCTCTTTAAATACAATAATACAATACAATAAAGTCATTTATATAGCGCTCTTACTCAAAGATGGTTTCACAGCGCTGAACAATAAATTAATCACACACAAAAAAAAAAAATGCTGAACATTAACAAGAAAATTATGAAAACATGAATCTCAATCAAATAAATATGTCTTAAGGGTCTTTCGAAAGACATCAAAGGAAGGACACTTTCTTAGCTTAAAGTAAAAAAAAGTTTCAACTTGTTTGTACGTGGGGTTTTGAGGAAAATGAACTTTGCTAGTCTGGCACCACTTTTGCCAAACTTTAAGAAAAAGCATCTCATTTCAAGAGAAGACATTTCTAGAAATTGTAATTTGACCATAATGTTTTATGATATTTTTTCAAGGATAAACTAATCAGTAGCAAATCATTGGGATAATGACTGTCTAAATTAGCTAGCATTGAAGCTGCTTAGAAAGATACAGCACTGTCATAAAAGTCTGTTGTGCCATATTTGTTTTTCAATTCAATTCAATTCAATTCTACTTCACATTTATTTCCATGCTTCATGAACAAAAAGTTACAAACTTTAGAGAAAAGGGTTAAACCATTAAGGCGAGCAGTAAATATCAAATTAACAGCAAAATAAAAGAAGCAAATAGAGCATGGGGCTGTTTTAATAAGCAGAAGCTTGTGGAAAACAGCCGGTAGAAACAACACAGGACAAACAAACAGGGGCAATACAATGGGTAAGCTGACACGAGACAAGGAACATATGCTGATGACAGCGGCAATTAATATGATGACAAGATGGCAAAATGCTGTATCAGCAACAACAAAAATGATAGACAAACAAAATTAACATGTGAGGAATAATTAAACGCAGTAAAGTTAATTAGGAGAGAAGGCTAAGATGCATAATCTCCCAATTAAACGAGTAAAGTGATGTTTAATTAGGATTCTACCGATACATTACCGTAATGAGGAGTCACGTGAGATTGTATTGTTTAGTAGCTAAAGGTATGCCACAATTGAAAGAAAAGAATGCAATTCCTGCCTGCGTGCCCCTATAAAAGGCCCAACCACAGGCATGCTCACCAGTGATTTAAAGTAATTATAACAAATTACACTGGTCCCGTATACTAGGGCGGGTTGAGCAAAGAGACGGAGTCAAAACTTGTGCTTGGGCACATTGGGTGGGAGTCACGTGACTCCTCATTACGGTAATGTATCGGTAGAATCCTAATTAAACATCACTTTACTCGTTTAATTGGGAGATTCTACCTCGCCATTACCTCCATTCCGACTCACGTGAGACTTTAAAGCGGGACAGTGTAATGTTAATCAAGTCCCTTAAAACAAGAAACTGCACAGAGAAATTTTGCAGTACTCCTTATCGGATATATTAGATTTTATTTTTGCATTCTACTTCTAGAGCTTATTCTAGCTCATCATTATTAATAATTTCGAAACAATTTGTCTCTTGACAAAAGTACATGACTTTGCATACAGTATAAATCTCATTATACACACTTTTACGCCAAGACTAAATTGTCTCTTGGCAATACACGGTATAATAAACAAAGTTAAATTCTAGTTTGTCCTCTGACAACCGAACACAGTATAATTCTCATTTTAAACAAAATCAAGACTAATTTGTCTTTTGACTAAAGTAGTATTCACTTCATTATAAACAAATCAAGACTATCTTTGTCTCTTGACGATGTTCAGTATAAATCCATATTTAAACTGGCACTTGTTTCATGAGTCGAATCAGCACTTTACCGTGCTATTTAATGGAATAAAACTTTCCTTGACCCATTTCATTTTTATTACACAACATATGCTCGGCTAATCATTTTTGACTTAAGATTGCCTGAGAAAACTGACTTTGTGCTCCTTCTGAGCATAAAATACTGTCACTTCTGTTATAAAACTTGGCGAAGGTTGTTGAACTTGCCCAACCTGCCGTCTGCAAAATTAAGTTAATGGGTACACCTTTATTGGCGGCTGCCGAGGTTGAGGCAGTTCTAAAACTATGTGCTTTGAACTCGGACACATCTATGCCCGCCTCAGTTAATGACTGTTTTAACCAACGGGAAACAGTGGCAGTGCCTATCTCCTTATGCGGCACTGTATAACTTAAAAATAATTTTGACTTGGAGCCCCTAAAACTTCTTGTCCTGTTCAGATACTCTAAGAGGGTTCGCATAACACATACACTTTTATCATGCGGGTATGCTGACAATATAACTTGTGGTTGAGGTTTGCCCGGTTTAGATGTTTTAATCAAATCAGTTATTTTAATACAAACTTGTTTGTTTCTAACCTTCATGTTAGATATGTCGAATAGGCTCAATGTCTGAGCCCGCTGTGCAGTGGTAAGTGCACATAAGCAAATCAGTTTGTAAGTCAATTGTTTCAATGCAATAGACTGTAATGGTTCCATCTTACTAACATATCGAAGTAAAATACCAACATCCCATGTATGTGAATAACGAGGGTACTGAGGTTTTAAATTAAATAGTCCTCGCATAAAACGAATAACCAAAGGATGGCTACCAAACTTTGTTTTATTGTCAGACGTTGACCAAAGCAGTGATGACAATGCACACCGTGCTGTATTAACAGTGCTGTATTTTGCCCCAGAGTGAACTAACTTGGTGAGAAACTCCATTGCCACGGTTACAGTCGCATGAACTGGATCGACAGCCCGTTTAGTGCAGAAACGTAGCCATTTTTCGATGGATGATGCATATTGCTTCTTGGTACTCGGTCTCCATGATTGGAGGATAATGTCAATAGTTTCCTTCGAAAATCCTCTTGATCGGAGCGACTGCTGGATAAGAGTGAAGCACACATTGTCATTCGGCCCTCTAGTGGATGGCGACTGTGTGGATCGTGTGGTAGTCTCAACAACCCGTATGTCTTTGGTAGTGTTACTGGCGTAGCTATCAACAGGCGCAGCATTCTGGGAAACCAATGTTGGGTTGGCCATAATGGGAATATAAGTATTCCCATGGCTCCGTCTACCTCGATTTTCTGCAATACCCTGTCAATGACAGCAAAACGAGGAAATGCGTAAAATATTTCGTTCGCCCAAGACATTGTAAACGCATCACATGCAACTGCCTCTGGGTCAGGCAGCCATGACACAAATGGCTTAAATTGATAATTGGCTTTGGACGCAAATAAATCAATACTTGGTGCGACACCCAATGTTGATATGATTTTGTTAAAAATATTGGCATCTAGTTTCCATTCCAGATTATCCTTAAAGGATCGTGACAAGGTGTCTGTACAAGTGTTTTGTACACCAGGTATATGGCGTGCAATCAACCAAATGTCATGTTGGATGCACCAAAACCAAATTTGTCTGGCCAAGTCATTCAGTTCAGCTGAATGACAACCTCCCATGTGGTTTATATATGAAACTCCTGTGACATTGTCCATTGCAGTGGACACAGTTCTGATCTGAATGTCAGTTTGAAATGACTTTAGAGCATAAAAAAAAAACGCAAGGAGTTCTAGATAGTTAATATGAAACCTTACTTCATGCAAATTCCAACGGCCATTAGTTTGAATGTTAGCCTTTGGACAAGAGGCTCCCCAACCCATGAGGGAAGCATCAGTAAACACTTCGATGTCTGTTACACGGGGTAATATTGGTCGAAAATTATATGGTAAATTTTGTATCCACCATTGCAAATCGGACTTACTGCTTGCAGTGAGAGGCATTTTGGCCTTGTAATTTCCATGACATTTTTTCAGAGCGATGTTTTTGCTCACTTCCAAACTTCGGTAATATAAAGGCCCAAGTGGGACCGCTGGAAAACATGACACAAGTTTTCCTATGACCTGTGACACCCAATGAATTGTCGGGTTCGACTGTCCTATGAGTTCATGGCATGCCTCAACCGCGGTTGATAATTTGCGAGGCGGTAAACGCACTGTCATTTCTACTGAATTAATGGTGAATCCCAAAAACTCCAATTCTTGGACTGGGGTAAAGTGTGACTTTGATTGATTAATCACAAACCCAAGTTCATTTGTCAGTGCACAACGAGCTGCAATGTTACTGGTGCATTCCTGTAATGTGTCACCAATAAGTAATGAATCATCAATATAATTTGCCGAAATTTGGCCAGCATTACGTAATGTTGATGTGAGTGGTTTCATGACCTTTGTAAAGATACGAGGTGCACTAGCAAGCCCAAAGCATAAGCATTTAAATTGCCACAGTTTATCTCGCCATTGAAACCGTAAGAACTTCTGATGTTCCTGGGCCATGGGTATCGTAAAATATGCATCCTTCAAATCTATTGATGCTAAATAGCAATTTGTCCGAATCAATGTCAGTGCAAATTCAAAGGTCTCCATTTTAAAATGGTGATATTTGACAAATTTGTTTAGAGCTTTTAGATTTATAATGAGTCTCATTGAGCCGTCTTTCTTTGGTCGAAGAAAAATGTCGGACAAAAATTGTCCGTGACAGGGGTTGACCCTGATAATCGCTCCTTTTTCTTGTAATTTTTGAATTTCTTCGTCAATCAGTTGCGCCTCCGGGTCAGAGTATTGAATAAGCTTAGGTTCATGTGCCTGGACCGGAGTGCGATTAAATTCGATATGGCAATGTGCAACTGTATCTAGCACCCATTCATCAGAGGTTATGTTTTCCCAAGCAGGGATAAACTGTTGCAATCTTCCAGCAATAGGTTATGTATACTCACTTACCAACTGTAATGGTGCCGCTAGGTCACCGTTTTCTTGGCTGTCGAGGCCCCGGTGCTGGTGGATTGGCTTGGGGTTTGGTGGTAATTGCCACTGCCATGACCGCTGCTGCCGCCGGAACGGTAATAACCCTGGCCCTGACTCTGTGCTCGACGATAGTAGCCTCGGCCTCTCGGGTAATAAGGTGCCCTCTGGTGGCTGCCGTAATGCTGTTTCGGGAAACCCCGTGAGCGAAAGTCCCCCGCACGGTGGGATGATCCACGGCCTGAAAACTGTCTAGTATTACGACGTTTGGGGTCATTTACAAACATCTGTGAACTTATTTTGTTTGTCTCCACTATAGTTTTGCATGACTGAACTAAGTCATCCCCGAAAAGGAGACTAGTGCACGGGACTTGCGATGAGCACAAGGCCGCATATTTTTGGTTGAGATCAGGTCGGATACTGTCTCTTCTGCGCAAGTTGAGTTGGGCGTTGCCCGAGCCAAGTATGGCAATTGCGTCAACCAGCATTCTAATAAGCTGAGCTGTATCAATAGTCTCATTGTTATTTCTGGCTTTTAGCATTTGATCAGTGGCCATTGCGATGGCTATTGATGCCCGTACAAAAGAGCTTTGCACCTTTTGGAATTTAACATCCCTTGCACGTGTTGTGGGTTTTAGGATTGACCATATCTCAGGGTTCACTCTAGTTAGGCAAAGATTACCGCAGTTGCTTGGTTTGTTGTATTTGCCCAATTTTTCTTCTAGTTTTTCTGGCTTTATCTTGCCTTGAGCAAGTGCATTTACTGTTTTAGCCAATTGGTCATTTAGGGCTGAACTTTCTTTTTCGTCACCCTCAATTAAGGCCGCCATTTCGGTCAGCAAGTCATCCTGGTTGCCAGTATCGCACAACAGGTTATCTAAATCACCTTCAGTGAAAGTGTCTATGCCCTTTTCAGGTACATGTACATAACTATTGCCAACAATTGCGTTGTCATTGCCCGTTTCCGGTGCAAGGTTTAATGCCACCAAATTATCATCAGGGATTTCACCCTCGCTTAATATTTCCTCAGTTGGAAAGCGGTTAGCGTAATGGCTAGAACCGGAATCGCTGCGGTGCAAAAACGCATTTGTCAAAGTAGCAACTGTTTGCTGCAAGCTAGAAACTGCTTTGTGCAAGTCCGAATCGTCGCTGCTAGTTTTCTTCGCGGCACTAGGCGGCTCGTTCAGCGTACATGAATTTGCTTGATCTATATTCTTACGCTTAGCAGTTCGCTTCTTGGCTTTAGCTGCTGGCGCCGGTGGCGTTGGTTTGCTTAAAGATGAACATGCAGTCTCCGCTATTGGTAGCTGCGTGAGAAATGACAACTCGTCATCCAGTTGACCCATTAGGCCCTCGTCTTCCGAGGGGTTAATATGCAATATGGCTTCATCTGCCATTGCTACACTACTGGCCACGCTCGTGGTCCAACTTTCAATGTGACTGGCTAGAGCGCTGCGTGAAAACGCACCAATGTACACGCGATAGCCACTAAAAATGCACTGGTGAGCATGCCTGTGGTTGGGCCTTTTATAGGGGCACGCAGGCAGGAATTGCATTCTTTTCTTTCAATTGTGGCATACCTTTAGCTACTAAACAATACAATCTCACATGAGTCGGAATGGAGGTAATGGCGAGGTAGAATGGGAGATAAGAACTTGCTTGTATGAAGACTTGAAAAGACCCACGGACTGCTGAGATATACTCTCATCTGTAGCATTCCATACACGAGGACCAAAGAAGCGAATGCTGTCCTACTCTAATTACAAGTTGACACGACACAGGTTGTATATGAAACCAAACTCATATGGTTGTAGAGTGACCACATACAGTTTGAATATTTGAACATATGTCAATTTTTCAGTAAAATGTTTGTGAAACTTTAACCCAAATTGTACTTTTTTTTCCTCTCAGACGGTGGAACAAAGGCGTACAGAAACGGATGCCGATGGAAACGTCACCACCACAGTCAAAAGCAGCAATCCTGAGGAATCAGATCTACCCAGCCTGACACCGGACAGAAGAAGACCACGATGGGATAAGAACAGAATTACAGATGACGGAGCAATAATCGGACAGGACAAAACAGCCTCCATATTTGACAAACTCTTCGGGTCGTGGGGTCGCCGGTGAAGTTTTGAGCATGGTGATAAATATCATCACCACTTTGTCGCCTATTCATGATTGTAAAAAAAGGCTCAGTATTAAGGAAACTAATATTTAGGTCTATACAAATTTAAGACATAACCTAGTGATAACATCTTAAACAACACTTACAGAAAATATGATGTCATCACCGTTGTGAAGGAACAGGCATGTCAGAAAATCCTGTCATATTCGGTCAAGTGTGGCATGTCCATCCCTACGTGCAAAGAGTGACAATGTTGGCGTCAGACATGTCGGAAGAGGAATCACAGGGGATGTGATTTTGACATGAAATCGCTTTTACTTTGTTAAGTGTGAGCGTATATTGCCAGCTTGAGGTGTGATTTTAGCCAAAAGGATGTGGTTTTGACCGCCTGCTGAAAAAAATTATCCCTCCTAATTCATCTTTCCTGTATGAAAACACACATGTAAGTGTCTGCAAGTATTACTGTAGCCATGTATATTACTTGTAAATAAATAAACACGTCCTGAAATAAATTATGGTGAACTTTAGCCAAGTTTCCAAAAGGAAAAAGAAAAGGAAATCTCCCTACCAGATTGGAATAAGAACATTGACCCCGCCCCCACTCATCCACCTCCTACCCACTCTCGACCCACTTCCTGGATTAGTTTTCCGGATCTGCATCAGTATACATATCTTAGTTACTCTGAAAATTCCCTCTAATGTTTGTCCATTGAACACTTGCTTCTGTTTAGTTTTAACTTCACCTTTTTGACTTTGGAAAGGGAAAAACAAGATAGTAAATTTAGATTGGGAAATTGAGACAGGATTTTGAGAGGTAGCGGGGAAGTGTAGGCATGAGTGAGGGGGGGGGGGGCATATCCCAGTAGGATAACTTAAATGCTATCCTTCCACCGGCACAACTCGAGTATTTATAGCCCGAACGGAGACCGTGTTTTGTGGCCAAATATTTTGCCAGGGAAACGTGACATTTAACGCACGTCAGCACCGTCGGGCCAAACAGGAGAGCTGGGAGGTAGGGCCGGGGAATCGCTTTCAACCCGGGCCAGTGTGGGTGGCGGATAGGCCTACCGTATTTAGCCCAGAAAAACAAGACGAGGAGAAAATACTCTGTAGAAAACAGGCGCGAAGAGCAGAGTTTGAGGGTCTAGGACAGGCTCCCATCGTGAGCATGGGCGTCGCGGGGGGGGGGGGGGGGCAAGCAAGGGGGGCGCTTCCCCCCCCCCCCCGGAAAAGCAAATAAAGTTTTTAAAAAGGAAGGAGAAAAAAAGAAAAGAAAAAGAGGCGCAAAGTCATAGTGGTGTAAATTTAATGGGGGGGGGGGGGCAAGATGTCCCTGCCCCCCTCTAAAACTGATTAATCAAGAATATGTCGAGAAATACAAGAATTTTTGGGGAAAACTATGTTTTGCCCCCCTCTAGAAAAAATCCTGGCGACGCCCATGAGCGTGAGGGTGTGTGGTTAGTTTTGGGTCATTCTATAAAATTGGGGTCCACTTTTTCCTGTTCATGTTACATCTGACATCTATGACTTTATAATTTTGGATGTTTTCCTTAATGCAGCCGTCCTTTAAGAGTGGACTTCTTCGTGAATGACGCGCATGCTTGCGATTCAGGTCTGGATATTTTAATTATCAATTTACGCGACCAGACTTTAAAAGTTTAAAACATCTGTGAAAAACACGATTCAATGTAACCGTGTGTTCTTATTCCTCCATGATTTAACATTCATTAAAAAAATGACAGCTTAAAACATGGAACCTTGTCAAATATGGGTGGTAACTACTCATCATCACCTTCCCGACGGGCCTGTGAAAGGCTACATCGAAAATGACATCAAGCCCGGAATGTTAGCTTAAAAAGATATAATCTCTCTTTTTGACTGAGGAAGTTGGATTAAAATGGCAATTGCGAATGTAGGTTACATATAAACTATTTGCGAAGACCCCAAATCCAGAAGATGAAGAGATATTCAAGATGCATACCTATGTTTCCCAAAACCTATGTTCCCAATACCTATGTTCCCTAACCCTAACCTAACCATTTAACCCTAAGGCCCCCCCCCCCCAAAAAAAGTCTCCGGTTTCTGGTATGGAGCTTGCCCAAAAAGTGGTGCGGTGACGTGTTTTTTTATTTTTTTTTTTACCTGATTTTTTTGCTTCAAATGTCGGCTGATGACTGCAAATGGTGCCCGACTAAACTTAGTGCAAATGTATGGGAGTCCAGAGAGGCCACATAAAGCTTATTCTCGACCATAACCCAATCTAAAAACATGTTAAAATTGTGCAGCAGCAGAATTCCAGTCAAACCAGTGAGTTTGGCGGTTTTGAGACATCATCTTTCATTGAAAAAAAAACTTTTTCATTTTTCCGACGCGCATGGCTACGGCGACGCGCGCGCATACCAGAAACCGGAGACTTTTTTGGGGGGCCTAACCATAAGGATTTTAGGGAACATAGATCATTGGGGAAAAACGGGTAGACCCCGATGTACGCCTCTATACGGAGGGAAGCCATAGGCCAACGGTGCAGATGTTGTGTTATCCCCCGGCCCCACACTCTCTGGAAACTCTCCTTGCGACGCCCAAGATAGGGTCACTGCTGTTGCTACTATCCTCTGGAGAAATTTTCATCATTTGGGATTTCTTGGGCCATTTAGGAAGGGCATGTCGAGCTCTGTAATCCCTTAAGCACCGCCCCTTCCTAGAAACCACACCTGTTGCCGGAAGACATTGCACGTTGGAGATGTGCAGTATCTTGGCAAATGTGTTGAAAGCGGTTTCTATAGTACAGTGCGTCCCAAAATACCCGCAACTTTTCTTTTTTTTGCGAGGCTGTAGCGTCGATGCGGAAACACGTACCGCCATTATTTCTATATCATTTTAAAGCTTGGAATCTTAACTTCATCACTGTAAGCATCGGTTTGATTTTTTGAAGGGTTTTGAAATAATTCGTGTTCAAATAAAGGCATGTTAAAAACAAACTCAACCTATTTCGAGGAAAATCAATCATGCGTTATTTTTTATGTAGTGGAAATGCTACATCATGTTCATGATGTGATGATCTTTGTGTTCCCTTTTCTTTTAGATCTGCGTAGACTGCACCTTAAATAAATTCACAATATTCTTCGTTTCAGATTCAATGTGTTTTTAAGTAGGGGAGAAGGGCGGATACCAGACTTTGCCATAGGTCTGGGGGTAGTACAGGGCCAATGGGGAGAGGGGCAGGTACCAGACTTTACCCCCACCCGCCCCCCTCTCAATGGTCTCTGCTCCCTCCCCTCCCCCACCCCCTGATCCCTCCCAATGATCTCCCTCCCAATATCTCAGTCTCAGCCCCACGCCAAAACCGGGGACTAATATCTCTCGTCTTGAAGATCTGTCTCTCCAGGTACCAGATCAAAATCCTCACTCTCCCCCGCCCACTTATAAACAGCGCCCTCTAAAACTTTTTCTTTTGTAAATATTAACCAACACCCTCCATAATATTAAAAAGAGTCAGACGTTCAAAATATAATTAGACAAAACAGAAATCATATCTACATTAAATTTATTAAACAAAAATTACGCTATTCCGAAACACTTGGAGCAGGGTTATTTACATTAAAACCTCTATACACACTGATAATTAAAAGCAGACAATATGATCAAATGTCTTTCAAAGTCTCTCAACCAGCAGTACAGTCAATAGATACGCCAGTAGATCATGGCAGTTGCACAGCATGTAAACATAAATTTTGACGATGCACGATGCTATAGTCCTATGTTGGCGTGTCTGTATAAACGCTTATTGACGAGGCGGTGGCTATTCTTTGGGAACCACTTGATTGTTTTAGCTTGACGACAATGGCATCACTACATCAATATTGTGTAGGGTTGACAACAGACGATTACTTGTCAACTTGTGATGTCAGTATTTGGTGATTGCTGATGGCCAGATGACTTTTGTTGACAAGTTAAAGTTCTCTTTGTGACTTGGCGTCTCTATATACCAGGCTGTCAGTAGATATTGGTCCTGTGTCGGCGTGTCCGTATATCAGACTGTATACCATGGATAAACGCTCAGTCATGGAGATGGTTGATATACTGGCTCCCGCGGGGCGCAAGTTATCCTGACGTCACTGCTCTGTGTAAGGTTGACTGATGTTTTTGAATAAGCACGCTCCTGGTCCTGTGTTGGCGTGTCCGTATACCAGACTGTAAAACATGGATAAACGCTCAGTCACAGAGACGGTTGCTATACTAGCTCCCGCAGGGCGCGAGTTGATTGTTTTTCCTGACGTCACTGCTTAGTGTGGGGTTGACTGATGTATTTGATGAATGCTGGTGGCCAGACTCACTTTTGTTGACATGGTTCCATGAGAAAGTCAGATGCCTTTGTTCATCAGGTACAGATCAACGAAGCGTAATAAATTGAAAATTTGTGCTCTTTTGTTACACTCGTGGGAATCTTTAGATACATATTGTCTGCTGGAATCAGTCAATATGGACTGTATATAGTCTCTTTACACTTGTGCATAAAGCGGTAAATTAAAAAATGGTTTGGTATGGCATAAGGCAATGAACAGATATGGATATATAAGCATCGATGCGGCAAATTAAAAAAGTTTGAATTGGGTATACCGCACAGATTGGACTTTTATGCCAAAAATAAGCGGTTTCTTTTTTAGCGACCGTCACCCAACTGATCAAATCATACAAAATTAAATTTACAAAATATAAGAATTCAACTAGTTTATGCCAACACAAATAATTATACCGTAGTTTGCTGCCAAATATAAGCGACATGTGGGTCTAGTAACATTATCCTAATTTCATTTCTAAGATTGTAGATTGTTTTGAATGGAACTCCTAATTGGTCAAACAAAGGGTAATTTTTTAATAAATTTGCTATAAGACGTATTTTGTTGGCATAAGCTCTGTGAATGCCTACATTTTGTTTAAGCCACTCTTCCCAAGATGTTATTGGTTTTTCTCGACTATGAAGGCAATGAACAGCATCAAGCAACTTTCCATACTTGATGTAAATACCGATTATAGAAGCCTGACGCTGACCAATACCCTCATAGCCAGAAACTAGATGCGGAACAGATTCCCCTAAGGTTTTTATAGTGTCTAAGTTTCTATACAAAGGGAAACTGTTCGGTTGAGAAGAGTGCTGTACCTTACTCAGCAGATGCCTGTGTAGGTCATCGCCGGTTAGCTTAGATTTTGCTTTACATGTAGTTTGACCCAAAAGAGACTTTATATTTCCTCTCGGTTTTATCGGTATGATTTGATCAGTTGGGCCATTTAGTTTCAAATCACCAAGAAATGTCAGCATTTCTTGGTGATATTTTACATGTGACTCTATAATTTGTAAGTCCTCTCGACTCCAGTTATAACAATCTTCCATTGGTACATCATTATTTTCCATGGTCGCTAAAAAAAGAAAACGCTTACCTTGTAGAATTGGTGTAAGAAGCTAAAACCCAAACACACGTCTGTTCTGACAGCGGTCGGTTCATATAGTGAAGCGAAAAAATGGGCGGCG